CAGACTAAATTTTTAAAAATTCAGTATACAATTTTTGCATCACTTAACTCAGTGGTCGGCAAACTCATTAGTCAACAGAGCGGCAAACCACTGACCTAACTCCTTATTCTTCCTAGAGAACTTCACACACACTGTGTGTCCTACCCTTTAAATCTCATTTGAAGTTTCTGTTCTCAGCCCTAAGCCCCTGGCTTCTAGCTGTAATACATTTGTCCTACCAGCGATGCAACTAGTAACAAAAGCCTCCACCAGTTTCAGTTATAAAAACAAGAACAACTGACCTTGGCTGGGAAGCTCAGTTCAGCATCATCCTGATCAGCCAAGGTTACAGGTTTGATCTCGGATCAGGGCACATTCAAGAAACAAGGAATGCATAAAGAACAACAAATTTCTCTGTCTGTCTCCCTCCTTCCCTCCCTCCCTCCCTCCCTCCCTCCCTCCCTCCCTCCCTCCCTCCCTCCCTTTTTCCTTCCCTCCCTCCCTTCCCTCCCTCCCTCCGTCCTTCCCTCCTTTTCTCTCTCTCTCCCCTTCTCCCCCTCTCCCCCCTTCCTCTGTCTTTAAAATCAACTTTTAAAAACACAACTGAAATATAGCAATTCTTTTCTTTAAAACTGTTTATAAGCTTTACTATAACAAAGTTCACAAAAATTTTTTGGTAGCATTAAGGATATAAAAAACTTGAAAAGAGAAAACTTCTTTTGAAATTTGAATGAAAATTATTAATAAAAGTAAATTAATATAAAAATTTAATGCAAAAATTATTCTCAAGATAAGCTAAAAGTCTCAGGAATTTAGATCCCTCACCCTGTACTGTGCCTCCAACCTCCTTTTTGGTATTAGCTTTCTTAAAGCTTTTTAAAAAATATATTTTATTGATTTTCTTTACAGAGAGGAAGAGAGAGAGAGAGAGTTAGAAACATCGATGAGAGAGAAACATCTATCAGCTGCCTCCTGCACACCCCCTACTGGGAATGTGCCCACAACCAAGGTACATGCCCTTGACCGGAATCGAACCTACGACCTGGCTGACGCTCTGTCCACTGAGCCAAACTGGTTTTGGCTTCTTAAAGCTTTTCTGAATGAGGTGTAATAAGAACAGAGTTGTTGGTACTAATGTGTGAATGATTGCTCTTAAGTCAGTCTACCTAAAATTATTTTTACTCAGAACTTGGACATTTGCATAATGACGCTGATCAAACTACAATTTTGGGTCAGCCTCAAAGCTGTAGCATTGCATTAATTTTAGACACAGTCAGTATTTGTTCAGCTTCTAGCTCTATGAGGGGAGGATTGAAAAAAAGACGTGGAGGCAGTGGGATTCACACCCAGGCCTATCTGATCCAAGGCCTTCTGTACTCCACAGCACAATACCTTGTACAGAGTGGGCACTTGACTGAGTACATGTTAAATGAAGTCACTAACCTAGAAAAATTCAAAATTCACCTGCATGTTATATTCTTGAGATTACAGAATACCTGTGCTATGCTGACTCTCAGTATAATATTCAGTAAATATTTGTTGAATTAGTAAGTTGACATTAAAGTGCGGTTGATGCGCTTTGTTTTCGTGTTTTGTTTGTGTTAACACAGATTGTATACATTTTCACGAATTTGATTGATTGTAACTATAGCTACAGATTGCCTTTCACCTTGGTCTTCTATGTTGTTGCTTTAATTTTGGATGCCATAAAACTGCTTTTCATTTAATTAGAAGGTTCCTTGGAACCTTTAAGCTCTTCATGACATTTTATCAAGCACAGGATATTTAAAACCTGAAAGTTTTTACAGATTAACTGCTAGCTTTTATACTGCTAGACTCCTATTTGGAAGGAAGCTAAGCTTAGCTACATAAGCATCACAACCACACAGCTCTCACTATTGCCACTTCCATTAATTATTACATGCCAAGTATGATACATATTGTGCACATTGCTTCTATGAATTCTCATGTTTGATGTATTATTTGAATTATTATTTATCCCCACTTTGACAGTTTAGGAAACTTGGGGTCAATGAGAATAAACTAGTTACTCAAGGCAGCAAATTCTAGATTAGACCTAAGATTTGTCTGATCCAAAGCCTGTGCTCTTCACTGTACCATACTGTCCTCAGCAACATTTGTCTCTGCTTCCACACTGGGCATTCATTATCCTCTGAACAAAACTTCGTTTCATTTTAAACAACTCATCACTAGAAAAAATTTTGAGATAATATCTATCCCTATGCCTCTTTCTCTTTGATTTATTATTCATTAAAGGTCTTTCTGAATCCTACATAAAATAGGCTTGGGATGGAGAGAGGTCAAACTTTTCTCAGTTTCTTCTACAGTTTCCATTCATAAATATAGTTTTTAAAGTGAATTTTAGAGTGTGGGTTTATCTTGGTTTACTAACAACTTTATTATCAGACATTTGAAATTATAAAGAACACATTAATGAAAATCTCGTACATTAATTGCTTTTTGTATTTAGGTACGTACTGAATACGATTCCTCACAGTTTGGGCACAGATATCTGACTCAGAAAAGATTGGAATATTGTACCTACTTGAGATACTTGATCTAGTTTATAGAAAAGGTGCAGTGGTTGCAATTTCAAGAAGGCAGTAGTTCTCATGAGCCATCTTCATTTCACCAATGCATGTCAACAGTACTATTTCATACGCATTCCTACCCGTGCAACTCTATCTGAAGGCAGGAAAAGGAAGGCTAGATGAGTCTTTAAGTAGTAGGGAAAAGGGAAGGACCCACGAGTGATCTGTGATGAACAGATAAACAAATGAAGTAAGTAAACTCGGATATTGTCTTAATTACTACAAAGTTTGAAGGGTTTGGGGACTGAAGAGTGAGCATGTTATTTCTGTAGTTACTGTTAAATGTTCTTTTTATGTTCAAATTGCCTAGGAACTTTTTTTTTTTTTAAGTAGAAAACATATTCTGAAGTTTTATTTATACAGATTAAAAATTGAAACTAAAATTGGATTTTGTTTTAGCTTTATAATATAATAATAGGACTTCCGGTGCTTTTAATATTTTCCTTTCCTTTTTTTTTTTTTTTAAATCAAAGTCAACTCCCTACATTAAAAATACTTAATTTTTCCCTGAGTGTCAAGCTAGATGGGAGGTTGATGTTCGATTCCCAGTCAAGGCACATGCCTGGGTGGCGGTCTCAGTCCCCTGGTGGTGAATGTGCAGGGGGAGGCCTATTTCGGTAATTCTCTTATCGTTGGTGTTTCTGTCTCAATAAAAATGTATTTTTAAAAAATTCTTATAGTGTCATCCAGCCATCCTGGCTCAGTGCTTGAGCGTCGACTTATAAACCAGGGGTTCTTTCTATTCCCTATCAGGGCACATGCCTGGTTACAGGCTTGATCTCCAATAGGAATGTGCGAGAGCCAGCTGATCAGTGATTCTTTCATCACTGATGTTTCTGTCTCTCTCCCCTTCCCTTTCTCTCTCTGTAATCAGTAAAAACATTTTAAAAGGGGAAATTATTATTTTAAAAAATACAGTATCTACCATAAGTTGTTAAGTGGAAAAAGCTAGTTGCAGAAAGTAATGTAATAGTATGATCACAATTAGGTTCAAAAAACAAATATACAACAAAAGCAAAACTATGTGTGGCACATGGTAAATATTCATATCTGTTGATTCTGTATGTACCCTTAGAAACTGAAGATACAATCCAGAGTGTTTGGAGAGGTTATCTCTTGGAAAAGGTGTGCAGTTTAAAGTGCGTTTTTATTCAGTATACTTTTATGTTTGAATTATTTGCAGTGAGCATGCGTTACTTTTGTATACATTTTTAAACAGTCAAAAAATTTACAATCTATGAATAGACACCTCTTCTCAAATAGGTCCACTTTGTCTTATACCCTACAGTGCATATCAAGCAATAAAAGACACTATTTTATTTTACTTTTTACTCCTCATCTGAAGATATTTTTTCCATTGATGGTTTTGTTTTTTAGAGAAAGAGTGGAAGGGAGGGAGGAGGGGCACAGAGAGAGTGGAAAGGAGAGGGGGAGGGAGAGAGAGAGAAAGAGAGAAAGAGGTGAGAGAGGCACATTGATGAGTTGAATCAACCCAGGCTGCAATCAAGCCTGCAACAGAGGTGTACAGGCCTTTGATCAGGAATCGAACCCATGACCCTTTCTTCTGTGAGCCAACGCTCTTACCACAGAAAACCAGCCAGGGCAAAAAGACAGCTATTCTGACTCTACAGAATTATTGATTCTCCAGTGATCAAGAAAAAAGCAGTGATCAAACCTATTTGCTCAGTGTCATTTCCATGTAGCTTAATAAGTTTTTTTAAATAGAATTTTTCTAAGGAAATTTTCAACATACAAAAATTGAATTATACCTGTCTCCCAACTTTAGTAGTTATCAGTATATGACCAATCTCGTATCATCTCTAGCCCCACAGCCAACCCACTGTATTTATTTTCAAGCATATTTTAGATAGATAATTTCATCTATAAAGTATCAGTATGTATATCTGAAAGATAGGACTCATTTTTAACAAAACTAAAATGTCCTTATCACTTTTAAAAATGAGCAATTCCTTTATATCCACCATCTAATAAGTTTAATATTTTGCGGTTTGGTTACTAATTTTCAACTTAAGTTGCTATGTTATTTACTTTCATTGTTATATCCTTTAAGTACTTTTAAACTCATGTCTTTTTTTCCTTTCAAATTTAGTATACATTTTCCCTTGTAGAGTTGTAATGAAACCAAAATGGTGTTTTTTTTTCTTGACTTTTCTTGTTATTTCTTAAAATCAAAATGAGAAGCTTGACTAAATGACTATTTTTCATTTTCAAATTTAAAACATGACAGATATATATTATTGAATTTTGCTACATTAGAATGGAAGACTTGATTCATACCTTGACTGTAATAGCAAAGTGAGACAAGTCACAAATGGTGATCAGTTTTATTCTTTTGTTTAAGTGCTTTTGTGATATCTTGTCTGACTGTAATATTTTTGTTTTACATAGGTCGCTAATTAATAGAAGATGGCAAAGCCCAGCCACAGCAGTTACGTCCTTCAGCAGCTAAACAACCAAAGAGAATGGGGTTTTCTCTGTGACTGTTGTATTGCAATTGATGACATTTACTTTCAAGCACACAAAGCCGTTCTAGCTGCTTGTAGCTCCTATTTTCGGATGTTTTTCATGAACCATCAGCATAGCACCGCACAGCTGAATCTCAGCAACATGAAAATTAGTGCTGAGTGTTTTGATCTCATTTTGCAATTTATGTATTTAGGAAAAATAATGACAGCTCCCTCCAGTTTTGAGCAGTTTAAAGTGGCCATGAATTACCTACAGCTGTACAATGTTCCTGACTGCTTAGAAGACATACAGGATGCAGACTGTTCTAGTTCAAAATGTTCATCATCTGCTTCCAGCAAACAGAACAGCAAAATGATATTTGGGGTGAGAATGTATGAAGATACTGTGGCTAGAAATGGCAATGAAGCCAATAGGTGGTGTGCAGAGCCAAGTTCAACAGTAAATACACCACATAACAGAGAGCCTGATGAAGAGTCTTTACAATTAGGTAATTTTCCTGAACCACTATTTGATGTATGTAAAAAAAGTTCTGTGTCCAAATTATCTACTCCAAAAGAACGTGTGTCACGACGCTTTGGACGAAGTTTTACCTGTGATAGTTGTGGATTTGGCTTTAGCTGTGAAAAATTATTAGATGAGCATGTGCTAACCTGTACTAACAGACATTCATATCAAAACACGAGATCCTATCACAGAATAGTAGATGTTAGAGATGGAAAAGAGAGTAATATCAAAGCTGAATTTGGTGAGAAGGATTCTTCTAAGACATATTGTGCACAGACAGACAAATACAGAGGAGACACAAGCCAGCCTGCTGATGATTCGACTTCAACCACTGGAAGCAGAAAGAGTAGCACAGTGGAGTCTGAACTAGCCAGTGAAGAAAAAAGCAGAGCTGCTGAGAGAAAAAGAATTGTTATCAAGATGGAGCCAGAAGATATTCCTACAGATGGACTGAAAGATTTTAACATTATTAAAGTTACTGATAAAGATTGTAATGAATCCACTGACAACGATGAATTAGAAGATGAACCTGAAGAGCCATTTTACAGATACTATGTTGAAGAAGATGTCAGTATTAAAAAAAGTGGTAGGAAAACTCTAAAACCTCGAATGTCAATGAATGCTGATGAAAGAGGTGGTTTAGAAAATATGCGACCCCCTAACAACAGCAGTCCAATACAAGAAGATACTGAAAATGCATCCTGTGAACTGTGCGGACTCACAATAACTGAGGAGGACCTGTCATCTCATTATTTAGCCAAGCACATTGAAAATATCTGTGCATGTGGTAAATGTGGACAAATTCTTGTGAAGGGTAGACAACTTCAGGAACATGCTCAAAGATGTGGAGAACCCCAAGATCTGACAATGAATGGGTTAGGAAATACTGAGGAGAAAATGGACATGGAAGAGAATCCTGATGAGCAGTCTGAAATAAGAGATATGTTTGTTGAAATGTTGGATGATTTTAGGGACAGTCATTTCCAGTTAAACAGTATCCAAAAAAAGCAGTTATTTAAACATTCTGCCTGTCCTTTTCGGTGCCCTAATTGTGGCCAGCGTTTTGAGACTGAAAATCTAGTGGTTGAACATATGTCTAGTTGTCTAGACCAAGATATGTTTAAGAGTGCCATCATGGAAGAAAATGAAAGAGATCACAGACGAAAGCATTTTTGTAATCTGTGTGGAAAAGGATTTTATCAGCGGTGTCACCTCAGAGAACACTATACTGTTCATACTAAGGAGAAACAGTTTGTGTGTCAGACATGTGGGAAGCAGTTTTTAAGAGAACGTCAGTTGCGACTGCACAATGATATGCACAAAGGCATGGCCAGGTATGTCTGTTCCATTTGTGATCAAGGAAACTTCAGAAAGCATGACCATGTACGGCATATGATTTCTCATTTATCTGCTGGTGAGACTATATGCCAGGTCTGCTTTCAGATATTCCCAAATAATGAACAGTTGGAACAGCACATGGATGTTCATCTGTATACATGTGGAATATGTGGAGCAAAATTCAATTTGAGGAAAGATATGAGATCACATTATAATGCCAAGCATTTAAAAAGAACATAAATCATTTTCTGTGTTCTAATGTTTAGTTCATAGCAGAAAAAACACCAAAGCAAAGGATGTGAGCTATTTAGAAATTGATTTCTTAAGATTAATTGTTGGAAAAAAATTTCAAGGCCCTTTTACCTTAAATACTTTTGTTTAGGATCTTAAGTATCTACATTTTAGGTGTTCTTACATGTTTTTGTTTTTTCTTAATAGAATTCTTTGTTTTTAGTTTGTTTTAGCTATGATTAAAAATTTCTTTTAAATGTAGACTACAAGTGGTTGTTACCTTTAATGATTATTAAACTTTAGTTTTTTATTAATAAGGTGATGACTTCACTATTTCTATGTGGGGTTTTTTTGTTTTTTTTTAAGATTATCCTGTGAAATTTTAAACCCAACATCATTGGCCATTCCTATTTAAATTTTAAAAAGTAATTAGTTATTTGAAGCTATCCTATTCACCTTTAGCTTTTTTTAGCTTTTCTTTTTGGTAAGTTAAACAGTGATTTAGCCATTGTTTATTCCCCTTCTTATCAATAAAATTCATATTCTTATTACGCTGGTTAGGTGCACAGAATCTAACCCTGAAGGTTGACATGGGCTCAGACTTGGCCCCAAAAGATTGATAGACCTAAGAAAATTCCTATAAATGAATATTTTCCTATAATTGATAAAATATTATCATTTAATAATCACATTTAAAACTTATATTAAGTGTAAAACCCAATGACTTTACTCCATTTGAGAAATTTGTGAGGATAAGTCATTTTGTTTTGTGATATTAAATTTAACTATGATAGTTAATTAAAAAGAAATATCTTGTATTCATTTAAAATAATTTAAAATATTCTGATCTCTAAAGTGTGTTAGTTTATCAGTTATTTTTGTTTATATAAATAGATTTTAATAGTTCTCTAGGAATATGACATCTAAAGAAAAATGATTTTTCACCTTTAAAAGTACATACTTTTGGAACTTTGAGATTTGAGAAAGCTGCCATGTGTATTGATAAAATAAATAAAATTTAAAAATCAATTACAAATCTGGTTGTTCTATAAAAGTAGAGTGTGCAAAAAACCTGTCTTGTGTTTTATACTATTAAGATTTGGAGAAAATGTGCTTTGGCAAATTGCAGTTTATCACCATGCTTTCCTATTATTTTTTTCTGTAAAGGACTACAAACTTTGAGGACTATAAAATAATCACAGAGCATATAAATGGAAATAGTTTATCATTTTTTAGTTAAAGTAGTATTACTGTTAGGTATTGCTGACACAGGGTCTACATGAATTACATGTGAATTAAAACACTGGCTAACTGACCTGCCAATAAACACAACTATTGAATAGAATGCCTTTTAATGTGAATTACTTGCATTATAAATACCATTATCATAATGAATGGGATTTGAAATAACTCCAATATTTAAAATATAATTTTGTGAGTATAAATAGTATTGCTCCTTTTTTACATCAGGTTTTTAAGATATGCAAGTCATATTTTTGTATACAAATTGCATTAAAGAACAAATTGCCAGGAGAATTGAGATCTATTGACTATCACAGACTTAGTTGACAGAGAAGTACTAGAGTACAATGTGAGTCAGAGATTTGTGGGGAGACTTTTTTTTTTTTAAGCTACATAGAAAAAGTGATTCATCTTAGTCTTGGATATAGTAATTTAGCAAGTAATTAAATCTGAAATGCAACTTAAAATGAAATATGCCATATACATTATTGATAGGAACCTGATAAAAGTTCTGTAACAAACCCAGAGACAATCAGAGAATAGTGTAGAGAGGTAAGGGAAACTTAACTTTCTAAACTGTATAATATAATAAACATAATTTTCTATGGGACCACTATTATCCATGACCCTCATTAAAATCTATTGCAATGGCTTTTCCATCAAAGAACAGAGTTCTTTCTAAATAATACTACTACTACCAATCCATTTCCTAATGGATTGTCTACTCTATTAGGAAAGGTGATATAACTTAAGTGTTTTGACATGTACTAATAGCCAACAGTTAGCAACCAAATGTATAAGTGCTGAAGATCTGGTGCACGAATTTGTGCACACTAAAAGGAAATTAATTAGAAGAAATATTTTAGATCCTGGGGAGGGACCGTAGGTGGTTGGCTCCAGAGTGTGACCAGCCCATATTGCCCAGTCCTGATTAGGGGTGTCTTCCCCCAGTCCCCATTGGGGCTGGCCAGCCAGGAAGGGACCAGGGGAGGGTTCTAGGGCATATCCAGCCCTTCTCGCCCAGTCCTAATTGGCTGGACCCCAGCAGCAAGCTAACCAATCGGATGTAGTGTCTGCCCCCTGGTGGTCTGTGCATGTCATAGCAACTGGTCAAGCAGTCGATTGACTGATGGGTTAGACAGCACATTAGGCCTTTATATAGATAGATTAAACCATCTCTAATTTCACATGACTCAGATATTTATAGTTCCACAAAGCCACACCTCAAAGAGTTGTTTTCTCTATCTCATGTTATACAGAACACACACCTTTGGTTCTGGAACTAGCTACAGGGGGAGTGCGGACTTTAAGTATAACGTACAGTTTTCCTTGTTAAGGTAGAGTTTAATTTAAAGGCTACTTACTTGCCTTTTAAAATTAGGATTGAAAAGTATCCACCACCTCTGACCAGCCCAGTTTCCTCTCATTTTTTACTTCTTCTAGGGTGGAATTACAGCTTTGGAGCTTACTATTGCTTCTTGCGCTTTATTGCTGTGAAGACAATGAATCAAGGTTATGGAAGCTGTGTGCTCCTCTTGCCTTTATAATTTGAGTGATCGGGCTCCATATCTAAAAATGAGAGGAAAATCTGGATAAATATATGCACAATCTTATTTTTCTTTCCCGTCTCATAAACACAGTCTTGCTTAAAAGGACTTTTGTTCTCTACCATGGAATTCTAGAGTAATGGAAGCAGTGCCTAAAAGGCTTGCCATCAATTATAGTGCCACTCAGAGGTTTATAATTCTTTAGTAAACAGGACTAAGAAATGCAAGAGATTAATAAAGCGCAACCAAGGGGGGTGGACAAGGACTCTTAATCACCCATTTATTCAGAGAAGTGTCTTATCACATAAAGTAAAATAGCACATGTCTAATGTTTAATGTGTGAAGTTTGAATATAGACAAGGATTAGGAGAAAGATTCCAGGGGTTAGTTATAAAAATAAAAGAATTAAAATGAGTTTGCTAGGGCACTCAGAGCACCAATTAAAAGGTAAAATATAGACTGACCTAAAAAATCCTATTTAATGTGGTTGAGGATAAAAATATGAACAAGTCATAAAAGTTGAATAAAAAAATATTTGAAATTTTCTGATTTGAATAAAGATTGAAGTAATTTGGTAGGTTAAAATAATTTGATTATGCCCTGGCCAGTGTGGCTAGGTTGGGTGTCATTCTGTGCGATGAAAGATTGCTGCTTGATTCCCAATCAGTACACATGGCTGGGTTGTGGGCTCAATCCTTGGTCTAGGGTGTGCAGGAGGCAACTGATCAATGTTTTGATCCTGCATTGATGTTTCTCCCTCGCCATCTCTCTAAAAATCAATAAAATCAATAAAAAATCACTTCTTAAAAATTGTTTGAATAGATTTTAAAAATTCAGAGCTATAGAATGCCCAATAAAACAATTATGAACATGCCAAGGACATGCCTAAATACTTGAGATAATATACCAACTTTTTTTTAATATATTTTATTGATTTTTTTACAGAGCTGAAGGGAGAGAGATAGAGAGCTAGAAACATCGATGAGAGAGAAACATCGACTAGCTGCCTCTTGCACAACCCCACCGGGGATGCGCCCTCAACCAAGGTACATGCCCTTGACCGGAATCGAACCCGGGACCTTTCAGTCCACAGGCCTACGCTCTACCACTGAGCCAAACCGGTTTCGGCTATACCAACTTTTATATTCTAAAAGAGTGATAAGTGAGGGTTGTGGTTGTTGCCAACTTTCTTCCTGGTTAAAACAATAACTTGTTTCCCTAAATCACTTAAGGAACTTCCATATTTAATAGGTCTCTGGAAACCCCCCCTCCCAAAAAAAACAACAGTGAAATCGTTAAACAAAAACTTGTCATTATTTTTAAAAGCTAAATCAGTACCAATCAAAATAAAAATAACCTGAATGTGTATGTGCACACATAGCTGAGAATAAAGAAATTTGGTTTCTTTTTTCTTAATTTTAAATGGTTTTATGAGTTAAAAAATTTTTTTTTGTTTTGTTGCTGTTAATCTACTTTGGTCAGCTACTCATTTTTCCTCACCATCCCCATCTCCTGTGTATCATCAAATGCTTCTCAGTGATAAATGCTACTGTTCTGCAGGCACCCTAGCATTACTAGGATCCTAGAGTAGTGAAAAGTTCTGTGGGAACATGTCCTTGTGGTATGTTCTCCTTAGTACTTAGGGTATAGTAAACGGGGTGACAGGTGAATGCCAGGGAACTAAAGCAAGTAGAGTTATATTTGGTGTTAAGAAATTGAAGTGGCAGGCCAGATTTGGAAACCCATAATCCATCCATCCTAGGGCTCTCACTAGTAATCCTTGCATCCATTTAGTTAGCACTCTTCCTACTCTGCTAAATGCTTTGCATGTGTATTTCTGGTCTTTACAGCCTTATGAGGTAAGTATTCTAATTTTTCAGATGGGGACTGAGGTTCAGAGGGACTTTTTTCCTGAGACCACACAGAAAGTAAATACTAGATATGAGAGCTGGAATTTGAACCTAGACCTATCTGATTTCTACATTCCTGTATTTCATATCAAAGCTACATACTCCACCTACCAAGAAGCACAAAGAAGGGCCTTTTCAGCCTAGGAACACATGTGATAAAGCTCCCATGAGACTCTGTGCTGCTTGTTCATCACCTGTCATCTGAGGTACCTGGTACATAGCTGGTAATAGTGGTACCTAATGAACATGGTGAATGATGTAAAAATAATCAGTTGAAAACAAAACCTTTTTTTTTGAATGGGTTATTCAGGATGATGTTTTAGAAATAAAGACTAAATACTGATATGCTTCCATTTCCTTCATTTAAATTTAAAACACTTAATGGTATTGTCAGCCACTTTTGGGACCCATGATAGGCACTCAATTAAAAATTAATTTGAATTCAACTTACATATTTCTATATTTGTGAACTATCCTTTCTTTTCCTTATTCTTGACCTTTATGTTTTAATTTTTCCCACCAATGCTCATTTCCTTTCAATGGTTATGAAACTGATGAATAACTCAAATCATTTGAAAATATTCCCAAGAAAAACCAGGATCCCAAAATAAACAGTTTCCTCTTTTTGCCTTAACAGAAGATGTGGTTAAGAAATTTTTCATTTCTTTAGCTAAAAAACGAACAAAACAAAATCCCTAATTACTATAATGTGATTGGTTTGATTTAAAGTTTATAGAGCAATCAAAATTTGACTAAAAACAAAAGCTGTTCTTTTTGCCCAGCTGGTATGGCTCAGTGGTTGAGTGTGGACCAAGAGGTCCACAATCAAGATTCCTGATTGTCACATGCTGAGTTGTGGGCTTGATCCCCAGTAGGGGGCGTGCAGGAGGCAGTCTATGGATGTTGATTCTACTCATCCATGTTTCTCCCTCTCTCTAAAAAAAATAAAAATAAAAAACATTTACAATTTTTTCTAGTCATTTGTAATTCAGTTTACAAAAAAAACAAAAACATAAAAAACACTATGGCTTTCAAGGGTAAACTTTAACAAGTCTTACAGATTTGTAAAAGAAATGAAAGATAATCTCAGAGAACAACAGCTGTATAACCACCCTAACATAGAAGCAAAGTTTAAACAAATGAACAGTTATTTAATGGTTTAAGTGAGAGTTTCCTCCCAATTGAAACAGGTTTTAATGTCCTGCATCTGTATTGCCAGATTTTTACAGCCTATACAATAGGTTTTACTTCTGTTAAAATCTACTTCAAGGATCCATCTGCCAAATTTTATTTTTCACGTTAAAAGAATGGGTAATGCCCATATATTCATTGGTCTATCAAACTCAAGGACATATTTACTGGGTAACATTGGGAGAGTCTTACTAAAGCCAGGTGAAATTTAGCTACTTAAAAAAACTGCTAGCAAGAGGCAAAAATGCAAGGATTTAGAACTTGTATTGGTAAATATTAACTAAATGACTATAGCAGCTTGTAAATTCATGCTAATTTTAAACCAATTTAATACCACCTACATATTTATATGTGCATGCTTATTTGATTTTAGCTTTAAGAAGTTTAAATCCCATTTAAATTGTTCCCCTATTATATTCAGGAAAACCAAATCATTGAGATTCTTTAGTGACAATTATTCATCCTTTCTATCAAAACCACCACAGATCACTAGGGGGCAGGAAACCATTATGATTTCTCATTATCTTATTCATTTGCTAACAGAAAAAGATGGCTGTGAAGATAATAGCTCAGTGCTTGGCTCTGGATTGAATGTATCAATGTACTAATTGCCATTATAATAAGTCAAATCACAGGAAATTAGAATCAAAGGATGACCCCCCAAAAAAAGGCATGCTTTCATTTTAGAGTCAGGAATATTAATTTTATGTGAGAAAATTTCTATATCCTCATCAATTTGAGAAAGGAATAGTTAGGTAGACAGCCTTAAAGCCCCCAGTTAAAGTTTAAAAAGTTACTGTGTTGTTTTTATTCTACTTAAAGCAATTCCTTATACCAATGGGAATTAGCAGAATTCATTTTTAGATGAAAGAATTCTAAGCATACAGATTATGAAAGTCATCTTTTCTTTCAAATGCTTATATGTTCCCTGATGTATTGGGGCTGGGGATGGGATGGAAGTATTTTAAGAAATAATCTTTGTTAAAAAAATTAAGGCCAAGTGTTGCTGCAAAAAATATAATTTTACCCACAATCACTGGGGCAGGCTAGGGAAGCTATGAATTTAGGAATTTGAAGGAAAACTGTGTGCTCCAACGTGTTTGTGTGTGTGTGTGTGTGTGTGTGTGTGTGTGTGTGTATACACTACATTTACAGAGTGTATTCAGTACTTAATAATTAGAGAAAACAATGTTAACTTGATGTTTCACTTTTAAATTTGTTAGGTCTATGTTTCAACCAGATTTGCTATTAATAAGTTAAAGTACATTGTAAAATTATTTGAAGGAAAACACTTAACTGTTTCCTTCTCCCTACTTTCATCTACCTGGCTGACATTCTATCTTTATGTTACATATTTATGTGCTCTACCCGTTCTACCTTAGATAATGCAAGGGAAGGGGCGGGGGAGTGTCCCTATAGTTGGAGAATTATTCTAGTGATGAGAACACCTTATATTTGAAGGGTATAATGAGTTACATTGGGGAGAAATTAAATAAATTCAAGTTCTAGGAACTATGCTTTTGTTTCCATTCTTTGTTCTATTAATAGTGTGCTGGTCTGATGCCAAAAGCCATGAAATTCTGACCTAAGACATGTATCTTGCAGAGCAGTCAACTTGTAATATTATTTTCTTGAGTTTTGTCTTTTTCTGTGTGGCAGTGGTGAAATAGGGCCTTCTAAACCTCTGGAGAAGTGAGATCTGAATTTGGAGAGGACCTGGGGAAGAATCAATCTTCAACAGATAATCTTTAAATCCAGACCCAGGAATATCAGATCTGAAGTGACACCATCTTTTCTGTCTTCCTGACAAACCTCGTCAGCCCCAAATGTTCCAGTTGCAAGCATCCAAGAAAACTCAGAAAAGACCACTTTGAAATCATTTTGTTGTGACAAAATTGAATCACGGCGACTCTCCTAGTATCTGTGGAAAATCTGCTAAAGAAAATAGAATATTCATAAGACTTCAATGGGTAAAGTTGCACCAAAAAGAAACTATATGCTTATTATCTTCCAGGGTCCCTTCTAAAAGGCTTGCTAGGCTACTGTAAATATCTATAATAATAAAAGCATAATATGTTAATTAGACCAGACAGCAGGATGACTTTCAAGATGAAGCCAGGGCTGTGAGGGCTGAGGCAGCCGCCATGGCTGCAAGGGCCAAGCCCCTTGCACAAATTTCGTGCATTGGGCCTCTAGTAATCACATAACTGCAAACATAATTCTAAACTTTATCTGAATCAGAGTTCACATATTATGAAATGCTTTTAGACAATTAAAAAATTATACATAAAAATCTGTAGAGTATAAATAAAAGTGGGTACAGAGAAAAAAAGCAAGAACAATACTTTAACCAGAAAAGATAATATAGTTATTACTCACTGTAATGTAACACTTACCCTTTTTTTACTGTATATATGTTACAAGTTTGATTATTAATATTAATGAAGCTCCCTTTTAAGTCTGTTAACTTGAGGGGGGAAAAACAGAAGTGGTATTATTTCTTCAACAGTGGTAGATTTTCACAATTCACAGACAACCAAAAGAGTGTATCTTAAGATATTATTTTCTTTTGAATTTAGCAATATAACTTAATAGGACAGAATGAGTTTCTGTTAACACTTGTTTTCAGTATTAATGTTTCTCAGTTTTCAAATTTCAAGATAAAATTCAACTAAGTGTTGAATAAAACAATGGTTAATATATTTTAAAAGTCCTTTCATGGGGAAATGAAATGTTTGGTGAAATTTTAATTTGGCTACAAATATTTTTCAAAAAATACATTTCTAGCCATATTATTTCCTTATTGTGAGTATACTTGTAGTTTTACTTTTGGTTAACTGTGTACCCAATTCATTATTATTTTATTATATAATATTAAGATGTCATATATTTTCAGAAATGTTTATTAAGTTTTTATACCTATTCAAGTATTTTAATAAGGAGTTGCACAAAGAGATCTAACTTAGAGTATTCATGGAAGTATACGCAGTTAAGTTATTTAAACTCTAGCTATAAAATAGAATAACTTGAATATTAATTCTAATAATTAGATTTAAAAATCAGAAAAAGTTAATTACAATGTGTGGGTCCAGGGGCAAGAAAGTAGAAGAGAAATCCACTAAAGATTTCAAAATCATATTAATTCAATGGCTTTAAAATAAAACAAGTAAGTTTAGAAAACTGTTAGTTTCTGAAAAAACAAAACTAGAGTTAATCTCTTTTGGGAGCATGAGTGAAGCCTATAGAAAACAAACTTATAACAAGTAGGAAACAGAAAAGATAAAAAATATTATCAGTAATTAAAGGTTCCAGGAACAAGATAGTAGAGATTCAATAATTTTAATTGGCTGGTAGAATTAGATTCACAAAAGAAATATGCTTTAATTTTGATTACTAGAATATGAATATAAAGATAAGTGATTTAAATGCATTCTATAATTTGATTATTTTATGTATATTAGTACAAAATGGAGTTTATTTGGTTACATAGAGAGTTTTTGTTACATTTCTAATCCATTGCTTTTACCTAATAAAATTTCCTCCTCTATGTTCAGAAGTTAAACTGTCTGTATATTACTTTTATTTAAACTGTACTTTTCAACCTGACTTTAAAAAAATTATGTCTGAAAAGTTACCAATTCCTTCCATTCTCTAATACCAAAATAATAAAGTATCTGATATAGCTAATTATAGTGGTCCTAAGAAGCTTCAGAAGTACACAAAGAGAATTACTAAAATGATTATTGCCAAATCCTGTTTTCTTTTAATACACAATGACTGCAAAAGTACTAATTCATAGCAAACACAGATGGCAACACATTAATTAGGTTTCTTTAAAATACAAAACGAAACATTTATAAGAATCTACTGCCCTAACCGGTTTGGCTCTGTGGACAGAGCGTCAGCCTGAGGACTAAAAGGTCCCAAGTTTGATTCCGATCAAGGACATGTACCTTGGTTTCAGGCACATCCCCAGTAGGGGGTGTGCAAGAGGCAGCTGATTAATGTTTCTCACACTCTATCCCTATTCCTTCCTCTCTGTAAAAAAATCAGTAAAATATATATTAAAAAAAAAAAGGAATCCACTGACATAGTATTTCAAAGGGTTGGTTAATTCCTTTTTCAGAATAACATAATTTACTTATAGAAATAACTTCCTAACCAGTAGAATTCATTTTGTTTCTTTTCAGTTAAAGAACTTCCTAATTTTGTTTCCAGTGATCAGCAATGAGTACTCTCTTCATTTCAGATCAGTTCTGAAAGACAACTGTCATAGTTTCAGTTGATTTTAATTTTACTTAATTTAATAAGTGTCACCAATAACGGCATATTGAGTCTGACTGATTATTTCAGACTATTCCACAAGAGTCTATCCTCCAAGTTAGCACTCTACAAAACTGAAGTAGGTACCCACAGTCTTTATAATATGCTGTGGTCACAGATTTCTCTCCTGGAAAAGCCTTTCTTCTAGGTTTGATTCTGATAGCCTGCAGTGCCAGGCACAGTTTAATTGTAATTAATATCTATGGTTTAATTGTAACTTTTAAAGACAGTTTTCCAGGACTAAAAGAAGCAAATAGTGAAATTTTTCCTATATGACAGGTGATTGGATAAATATATTGGGACAAGATACTTCCAAGAATTAAAAAATGGCAGTATTTACAGAGGTCTAAATATAATAATTAGTTTGACACCAGTTTGCGCATAGATCCTCACCTTCTCTTCAGGCCAACATTACCTCCTCAAAACAATCCACACTTTATAAAGGTTGAATCTGGGTAGGGACTGAGACGCCAGAAAAATCCATAAAATTTTCCCCCTAGTAATTTGGGGAAAATTTATTCTTAGTTTCCCTAGGGCAGGCCTGACTATCCATGTACAAAGTTTTAGACCTTATTTTATTCATCTTTGTATCTCTAGTACAAGTATTTTCAGATGTGACTGTTTCATCTTTTGATATTTGCAGTTTGAGTACAGAAATATAAGAGGTAGGCAGATAATCTTCCTCTTATGCAAGAAAAAATATTCAGTTTTTTGGGGTCACTTTTAATAAACTAGTGAATCACTACTGTGTTCCAGATACTTTTCTGGCTGTTAGGGATTAAAGAGGGTTTGATATATACTAAAACTCTTGGTTTTTCCACACTGTATTGAACCTCAGCCTTTGGATTTTAAAAATACTTTGAAACACATAGTATTTATAATCTGCCAAACAGATTTCTTTTGTTGAAAATCAGTAGTAATTTCTATGTAAGTAGTAGGATTAGTAAACTTTGTCTTGAGTGAATGTTAATAGTCAAAATTCAAAAATGAATTGTAAAAACATAAGGGTATTTAGAAAAATTATTGATAATCCTACCATCTAGATAGAACCAATTTTGATGCATTTTTCATATACATAAGATTATCCTACATGTGGGATAAGAAGTTACATAAGTCTTGTATCTTATTTTCCACTTAATTATGTCAAAAACATTTTTCTGTGTCATTAAAATTCTTGTAAACAATTTTTATGGCTACATAATAATTCATCATATAGATATACTATAATTGATGTAATAATTTTATTGTCAGATATTTAAGCCATGTCCTTTTTGATGCTGTTATCATAAATAATACTACCTGAATGTTCTATTATTTCTGGATAAATCCCACATGGTAATGCTAAATAAAGGATATGATTGCATTTAAAGTAAAGAAAAAATATTATCATTTTGCCTTCCAGAAAGATTGTACTAATTTATATTCCCACTAGTAGAGTTTACCTGTTTTGCTGCACTGGTGCTGGCTATGAATATTATTTGTCCATAAATTTGCTAAGTTGATAATTTTATTAGACTATATTTTTAATGAATTTTGAGCCACAATCATCAAAAAGAACAAGATTTTTAAAAATCAATATCAATATAGAATAATGTAAAAATTCCAAGAATGCTCAGTGTATGATACTGTTCTAGGACTAAAAAAGTTTATTTCATATAAGATCAAAATGCAAATACTGTGTCTTTCTGGGAAAAGCTCAGGATCCCATCTAAAGTGTGAAACATCAGTTTACTAGGTAAAAAGAGCAGAAAAAAGATATTTGCTAGTGAAAATACAGATAAATTGCTACTGTGGTTTTACAAAGCCATGTTATAGATGAATGTGGCAGTTAGACTGCATGAGTTGTTTGTAATAACTGTACATAGAGATAGTACATAGTTACTAAAACCTCTCCCTTCTGAAGTTCAAATTTTAGTGTTTGTGTATATGAATTGGTATGTTTGCTTTTTGCAATCTTGCCTTGCCTGAGGTAAATGTGTGAGAGATCTGAAGAATTTGTTTTTCTTACAGTTCTGTTTTCTGTTGTAGCTGAGACCCTGTTTCTAAATCACATCATATTAGTTCTACAAAGATTTGGATTGTTCTCCAGCCCTCTAATTTCCCCCTTTTAAATATTTACATAAAAGACAATGTTTTGCAAGAAAAAAAAACATCAAGAGATAGGTACTCACAATTTAAGGCAGCTCCAATAGAAAACATTTGGTTTTATCTTTGTCTTAATATTTTCTTTAAAAGATTTCCTAGTTCATATTTTTTCTTTATTTTATTTTATTTTTTCATGGAAAAGGAGATGGGAATTGTGGTTAAAACCAGTACTATTTAATGAGATGAACAAATTAGTAAGAAATGTGTTTTTAAATATTGGAGATTACATATCCAAGAAAGGCAAATGTTCATTGATGAGGCTTTATAGGGTTCTAGCAACATGACTTCTAGGCCCCAGATTATGTGTTTCTCAGACAAAAACTTTGCCCCAGCACTGTCGCACACAACTTCGATATGGCCTATCCATTACTATCCTCTTTCAAAGGATGTTCTCCACCTCCCATAGCCTCAGGGGGTGGAAGTCATGGCAGATCAAGTTCTTAAACATATCCTGTCCACCTGAAGACGCTGTTTCTTATTTGTATCCCTGCTCTTGTAGTAACACTAATCTGTGTAAGATTTATAGTTGCCCGAGGATACAATGCTTTCCTCTTAACCCAAGCTCCTACAACCCGCACCGAGAATGCCTTTTCCTCCCCACTTCGCTGGCAAACTTCCGCCCCTGGCTCAGGCATGGCACCTCTTCCAGGAAGCTCTCACCCACACGCTTTCCGTCTGGATGGTGGTCCTCCTTTGTGTTCCCATAGAACTACTCTCGAATGATGTTGATCTCTTTGTTAGACTTCCAACCTCATAAAGACGATCTCCTTTTCTTTTTACTCTCACATAGTAGGTGCCCCTTAAAGCTTGTTGAGTAAATTGCCTACAGCTTCCTCCCGTAATGTGAGGTGCGAGCCCAGCGATTTTGTTCCAGTTTCTTTCCTTCAGGAGCCCATTTATAGGATCAGCTTCTACCTCGTCGCTCGGTGCCAGCAGTGCTTCCAAAGCCAACTCATGTTCCTCTTCCAAAATGAACCCTTCTCTTCCCTACCTTCTCTCATGTAGCTTGAGCACGGCTAAAGGAGGTCTCTCTCAAGGGAGCTGTCACAGACAGGACTCGGTCACAAACACGGAGCTGGGGAGGAGAGGGTCGGGCTGGGGCAAACGTGAGGCTTTGGTTGTAGGTGTATCCCATGAATAACTCAAAGTGGCTGATGCAGCCCTTGAAACCCAAAATAAAGAAAGCAGTGGAGAGAACAGGGAGACGAAATCAGGAAGCTTGAAGGGGCAGGGCCAGCAGGAAAAATGGAAAGCAAGTAGAGAAAGTATAGACGCCGGGAAGACGAGTTGCAGCCACACCCCAGTTCCGATTCCGCGCGGGGCGGGGAGCGGGAGGCGGAGGCGGGGCGGGAGGGGGCGGGGAGGTGGGGGAAGGCCTTTTCGGGGTCCCTCTCGGGCCCCCGCCCGGGCTCCTGTGGTCCTCGCCCGCCAGGCAGCTTGCACCGAGCGCTCACACCTGCGGAGCCGCTGCGGCGCACACCCAAACTCTGGGAGGCTGGCAGCCGACCCCACAACACCAGGGTCATTTCATTTTTGCCTCCGGCTTAGGGGGGAGTCGCCTTCACTCCGAGGCCCCCGTCAACATTAAAAAAAAGCAGGTTCTAGCCCTATTTCCTCGGTGCAGCCAGCTCAATGAATTGCCCTATTATCCCCGAGAGCTAGGGTAGCCGGTTCACTGGGCACTGAAACTGCACAGAAGGCCTAGAAACTGGGCGAACAGCCCGGGCAACTCCCCTCTCCGGGTCCCCTTCCGCGCCTCGCTCCCCGCTCCCACCACCACGCCCCGGCCGTTCTTTCCCCGCCCCCCGTGGAAGCCCGCGCTGCCCATTGGCCGCGTGCTCTGCCAATCCAAAGGACGTTGACGAATCCAGACCTGAGGGAAGGCAGAGGTCTAGAAAAAGCGCGCACACCTGTGGGCGCGAGGGGGCAGGAGCGAGGGGCGTGTGCGAGCCCAACGCCCCCCAGCTGCGCGGGCTGCGCGAGAGCAGCCGCGGACCCGGCCGCTGGGAGACGGGGGCGGGGCTTCATTTGCATAACGGCCGCCCCTCGGTGCCTGGCGCGGGCCGAGGCCCCGCCCCCCACTCCCTGGAAAGCTGTTGGGCCGCCGGCGGGTCACTCGGGCCGAGGCAAGCCCCGGCGGGCGGTCCTGGGCGCCGATTGGCTGCGGGCTTTCCCACAGGGCGGCAGGGCGGCGGCTATAAGAGCGGGGAGCTGAGCGGCGGGGAGCGGGAGGTGCTGCTGCTGCACGGCCGGCTGGTGTCAGGTGCCAGGCGACCGTTAGTGGACGCCGCCGGCGGGTTTTTCTTCTCTCCCCCGCGGTTCTCGCCTTCACGTCGCCCGCCTCTCTCTCTCTTTTCAGTCACGATGTCTGCCCGCGGCCCGGCCATCGGCATCGACCTGGGGACCACCTACTCGTGCGTGGGGGTCTTCCAGCACGGCAAGGTGGAGATCATCGCCAACGACCAGGGCAACCGCACCACGCCCAGCTACGTGGCCTTCACCGACACGGAGCGCCTCATCGGCGACGCGGCCAAGAACCAGGTGGCCATGAACCCCACCAACACCATCTTCGACGCCAAGCGGCTGATCGGGCGTAAGTTCGAGGACGCCACGGTGCAGTCGGACATGAAACACTGGCCGTTCCGGGTGGTGAGCGAGGGGGGCAAGCCCAAGGTGCAGGTGGAGTACAAGGGGGAGATGAAGACCTTCTTCCCGGAGGAGATCTCCTCCATGGTGCTCACCAAGATGAAGGAGATCGCCGAGGCGTACCTGGGCGGCAAGGTGCAGAGCGCCGTCATCACGGTGCCCGCCTACTTCAACGACTCGCAGCGCCAGGCCACCAAGGACGCGGGCACCATCACGGGCCTCAACGTGCTCCGCATCATCAACGAGCCCACGGCGGCCGCCATCGCCTACGGCCTGGACAAGAAGGGCTGCGCGGGCGGCGAGAAGAACGTGCTCATCTTCGACCTGGGCGGCGGCACCTTCGACGTGTCCATCCTGACCATCGAGGACGGCATCTTTGAGGTCAAGTCCACGGCCGGCGACACCCACCTGGGCGGCGAGGACTTTGACAACCGCATGGTGAGCCACCTGGCGGAGGAGTTCAAGCGCAAGCACAAGAAGGACATCGGGCCCAACAAGCGCGCCGTGCGGCGGCTGCGCACGGCCTGCGAGCGCGCCAAGCGCACCCTGAGCTCGTCCACGCAGGCCAGCATCGAGATCGACTCGCTCTACGAAGGCGTGGACTTCTACACGTCCATCACCCGCGCCCGCTTCGAGGAGCTCAACGCCGACCTCTTCCGCGGCACCCTGGAGCCGGTGGAGAAGGCGCTGCGCGACGCCAAGCTGGACAAGGGCCAGATCCAGGAGATCGTGCTGGTGGGCGGCTCCACGCGCATCCCCAAGATCCAGAAGCTGCTGCAGGATTTCTTCAACGGCAAGGAGCTGAACAAGAGCATCAACCCCGACGAGGCGGTGGCGTACGGGGCCGCGGTGCAGGCGGCCATCCTCATCGGGGACAAGTCGGAGAACGTGCAGGACCTGCTGCTGCTGGACGTGACCCCGCTGTCGCTGGGCATCGAGACGGCCGGCGGCGTCATGACCCCGCTCATCAAGCGCAACACCACCATCCCCACCAAGCAGACGCAGACCTTCACCACCTACTCGGACAACCAGAGCAGCGTGCTGGTGCAGGTGTACGAGGGCGAACGGGCCATGACCAAGGACAATAACCTGCTGGGCAAGTTCGACCTGACCGGGATCCCCCCGGCGCCCCGCGGGGTCCCCCAGATCGAGGTCACCTTCGACATCGACGCCAACGGCATCCTCAACGTCACCGCCGCCGACAAGAGCACGGGCAAAGAGAACAAAATCACCATCACCAACGACAAGGGCCGTCTGAGCAAGGACGACATTGACCGGATGGTGCAGGAGGCGGAGCGGTACAAATCGGAAGATGAAGCCAATCGCGACCGCGTCGCCGCCAAAAACGCCGTGGAGTCCTATGCCTACAACGTCAAGCAGACGGTGGAAGACGAGAAACTGAGGGGCAAGATCAGCGAGCAGGACAAAAATAAGATCCTCGACAAGTGTCAGGAGGTGATCAACTGGCTCGACCGAAACCAGATGGCAGAGAAAGATGAGTATGAACACAAGCAGAAAGAGCTGGAGAGAGTGTGCAACCCCATCATCAGCAAACTTTACCAAGGCGGCCCTGGCGGCGGGTCCGGAGCCTCCGGGGGACCCACCATCGAAGAAGTGGACTAAGCTTGCACTTCAAGTCAGCGTAAACCTCTTTTCCTTTCTCTAATTTTCCCCCCTTTTGTTTTTCTTCTAAATGTCCTGTGCCAAGTATGAGATCTATTTTTGGAAGCCTTTAGCCCAGTGTATGCATATGAAAGGAAAGGAGCAGCAACTTAGTTTAATTATAAAAAGTTAGTTCTGAAGTTTGATTATTTGAGGTTTCTCTTTAATGCATTTTGCTGTTTGCTGACTTGAGCATTTTTGGTTAACTTAGTGTTTGAGATGGGAGACCTGAAGTTTGCACACATGTTCTGTGGAAGCTTGGTAACAATAAAATACATAAGAGCTTGAATTGTTTATTTTTATGTACTACAAGAGGAGAGTCAACATTGCAGTAAAGTCAAGAACAGTCATTATTTTTGCACACAATTGCATACCTACAAATTCAAAGTAAAGCTGAAATTGATCTGAAAATTACTGTCTTGGAGTTTTCAATTTTCTCTTGGTACTGTTTTACTCACGTTTAAGATATGTACTAATATGAGATGAAATATATCTAACTCAATCTTGTCTAATTCTCAAATGAGTTTCCTGCTTTAAATTACCAACAACTCAAGGGGAGAAGATCTGGGTAAACTCCCTCCTCCTCCTCTCTTTTAATACAAAAACCAAACTGGAGTCTTGCACTGTACCCAAACTCCTAAGGCATGGCTTGAGTGTTCATGTGAAAATCCACCTGAATATTCCATTAAAATACAAGCTATATTCTGGGGTCAAGTATAAAATGATTCTTTAAACTAAAAAAAGCTGGGGCAGGAGTTGTCTTCTGATAATAGTATGGAACAACTTGCTTTTCTGTGTTTTAATTTAGTAACTAGACTCAGCTTAAGGCAAATTCCATAAGGATTTGTTTTCTGAGCAGGTATAATTTATAGAGGGATAAGAGATAAGTATTTTTTCCTGATTTAGGAATCATAATGCTTTCTCAATATCTGCCTTAAATCACTAGATTTCTTTAAAGGCAAACTGCAAGATAGTTCTGTATTTTGTTAATATACAACTTGTCCATTTTCCTATATATCTGATTTGAAGTTGTTACAAATAGGAAAATTACAGCCCTTTGGGATCTACTATCCTAGGCCTTAAAATTCACATCCTTGGGAGAAGAGAGTTCATGTTTATTTTTCATTGAAATTACACTTCTGCTTTGTTCCCATTTATTCTCTTTAAGGGGAACTTAGGAGAAATTCTGTAAAGCTGATTGGAAAATGCATAATTAACTTAATGTTTTCACCACACACAGATATTTTGCTATCTTTTTCCAAGTGATGTAGATTTGCTTCATGTTGTTCAATAACAGTGAATTATAGAACTATATTTTTAATATAGTAGTGGACCCTTCTTTTTCATGCAGAGAGATTAATTTTTGAATAATGGAATAAATTAGCTTAAAAACATTGGGCTTTGATAATGACCCTCACACAAGAGCTGGCTCCTATGTACATGGCTTTTCCTTTCTCCCTCTTCTCTTTCTCCTCCTCCAAGCAAGTCTCATTTGGGTGGGGGGAAGATAAAAAAGCAATTGTGAAATTGCTTCAAAATAAACTTTAAAAAATTACACTGAAAAGTTAAAGATAATTTGGGAGTTTTCAATGTTGGAGTCAAGCTGGTGGAAAGTTTTTAGCAAGGAGGCAGTAAGGGTATTTCATTGACTAGAGATAATATCACATAAATATTTGACAAACTACCTTGTTACTAAGAGAACAGGTCATTACTAGCCTTAGACTTTTAGCATTAATTTTTTACCAAGGTAATACCCATGCTTTTAAACTTCCAGTAGTTGTTGATTTGTTGAAAGTGTTTATCCCTTGCTCTAACATCAAAATATAATGGAGTCTTCTGTGAGTGAAATTTGATATTAGTATGACTCATTTTAGACCTTACTTTAGAAGACATTAGTTTCTAAAATATCAGAAAAACAACTAGTGGTAGTCTCTTTGATCCGGTGGCCTGACCTCTAGTAACTGCCTATAGCACTAATTTCAATCTATGTAGATACTTCATTTTTTATTATTTTGAAAAGAAATTTGTAAAGCTCCTAGCCTTCTTGAGTGTTTTTTTTTAAAATTCTGTCCTCTCAAATGTATCTAGATCTCAATATTATTAAGATAAAGCCACCAAAGCACCCATTTAGTGTTTCCAGGGGTCAGTTGAAACTAGTAACCCAGTAACTCCTGGGAACTTCTTTGCAGACATTAGATCAGCCATAGTCAAATGACAATGGAAAAAGCACTTGATCTTAGGATAAGGCTAAATTACAGTTTAAGAATTAATTAAACATTACTTAAACTTTAAAGTAGTGTGTTATGGTAGAGACTAGTGGTTGTGACTAAAGCAAATGCAATACATATAGAATACTAAGGGATAAAAAAATACATTTCTCAGCCCTAGCCAGTTTGGCTCAGTGGATAGAGTGATGGCCTGTGGACTGAAGGGTCCCAGCTTCCACTTGGGTCAAGGGCACATGCCTGAGTTGCAGGGTCATCCCTAGTGGGGGACATGCAGAAGGCAGCTCTCATCATTGATGTTTCTACCTCTCTCTCCCTTCCCTTCCCTCTGAAATCAATAAAAATATATTTTAAAAAACACATTTCTCAGAATAGGCACTTAAATTCTTATCAGAATGCCTAAATAACATATTTGTCCCTATTTTGAGGCGACAAAACTAGACACCTGTTAAGACCTTCTAGGTTGTTTACAGTATTTGAGATGAAATTTCAAAACAAGCTCACTCTTAAATTTTTATGGTAGTATTAATTTGACATATATAATGGAAATTCATTAAAAATTGTATACATTAGGAGATAGTAATATATATTTAAACTTAGCATGTATAATAGGATATTTGATGAATCATCTAATCAAGGGAGACTTAATGAGAATTTCTTTATCCTATATATAATCTTAAATGAGAATACAACCTTGCTATCTAGATAAAATAAAAATATTTCTTTTTATGAAGCTTAAATACTAGGCCCATGATAAGGCCTTTACCTATTTTAAATTGAATGCAGTTTTTAAAAATTGTGTGGTGAGGCATTTTCTTCTAGCTTGAGCACTGCAATTGAAGTTTTATTATTTTTTTATTTTTATTTTTTTAATATATTTTTTTTATTGCTTTTTCACAGAGAGGAAGGGAGAGATGTAGAGAGATAGAAAGTCGATGAGAGAGAAACATAGACCAGCTGCCTCTTGCACACCCCCTACTGGGGATGTGCCCGCAACCCAGATACATGCCCTTGACCGGAATCGAACCTGGGACCTTTCAGTCCGCAGACCGATGCTCTACCACTGAGCCAAACCGGTTTTGGCTGCAATTGAAGTTTTAAAGAATCTCAAATCCACACATTAGACAATTGCTAAAGGAATATGTAGATAGGTGAAGGAACAACATGAATATTCACTTGCTTCTGTGAAAACTGTTTTTGAAAGGCTACCCTTAAGCATTAAAATTAGATACAGAATTTCATTCCTTGAAGAAAAAGTCTGAAAAAAGAGCCCAGTGTATATTTTGACATAGCTCTTGGAATGGGTATATGCATTTCTGAAACTTAATAGGGTGATATTTAATATAGAAATGTCTTTTAGAACAAATCAAGAAGCCATAGGCTCTTTCCTCCACCACTTTCAAAGTAATTAGGTTGTTTGTGAATTCAAGATTGGGGAAATAAGCAACCAACAATGGAGTTGTTAATTAAAATACTGTCATTGTCATGTCCTTATATGTTCATTTTTAAAGGTAGATTTATAACACTATAAATCTTTCCATTATTAATTACTTTTTTCATAGTATAAACATGCATTTAATTAATTTAATGTCTTGCACCTAAAATCTGAGACCAGCAATTTAGTTCTGTTATATTCTCTTAGTTATATAACCATGAGAAGTTCTTTTAATTAGGGAAAAATCCACACATACACACAAAACAAAACCTTTCCCTCACAAGACACTTGGAATTATTAGTATTTAAATAGTACCTTTATCCCTACTTTAAAGTATCATGGATTTTTTTCCCCTAAAGATAAAATTATATTTCCATTTTAGGTTGTGAGTTTCTAATGGCATTAAAAAAAAATCCTATTTGGTGAAAAACCTAACCTAAGAAATGAGTGGATCACTATTTAAATAATGATTTAGCAATAAAAATATTTTCTTCCCTCTTTTGTGAGGGGTTGGTAATGCAGAAATATAAGGTGGTCCTTCAGAGTAATAGTTTCCTTTAACTCTATGTCCCTCTAGCACATGTGAAATGACTTGTAACTTTCACATAGGTCATTGTTTGGGGTTCTCAACTCCTATTTTTACCTTAGTTTTGTATTTTAGACAGCATGAAGTTAAACTATGGTGAAGTGTCAAATATCTTTGTTTTTCTTCCCTTATTGGGATAAACTGGAGGTTGACACAAGTGTGGTCTGTCTTCCGGATAATGGTTGTGAGGTGAATAGATTCCAGGTTTTTCTCCCGGTCTCCTCCTCCCCTCCCCCCAAGTTGTATGGCAGCTCGGTGAGAAACTCTTGGTCACTGGGATAGTCTTACTCCTTTTCAAATGAGTCATCTTGCAGTAAGCCGGCCTTGAGGCCACAGCCTCAAAGCAGCCCTGCCAGCGTCTAGGTAGGTGGGTTTTTGTATATCTTGAGCAAATCAGAACAGCTAACAGCAATGGACTCAAGTGAATGGAACATAAATCTAAGTGACTACGATTTTATATCACTTGGTTATCTTACCAAGTAGTGAGGAGTGAAAGTAGTGGGAATGCCTATTGCCGTATTTTAAAAATTTGTGGAGCATATAGTCACCGACTATTTACTGAGCATCCCATCCAAGCAAGCGGTGGGGATAAGACAAGAGACTACCTGAAGCATTCCCAGTCACGGTGCGCCATTCAGCATTGCTTACATCAGCGTTGGGGGGAGAGAACTACAGTTTGCCTATCAACTCAATTGCAAGAAGAAATGAAAAACATGACTTTTGAAAATGCAAAGTGTAGACATAAACATACCAATTGAATACCACTGACGCAAACCAAGTTGCTTGGAGCAGCACTGATCTGAGTCCTTATTAACGGCGGTGCTTTGCACTCACTGCTCCTTAGAATCCCTCCCAAACCCTCATTCGCGTGTCTTCAGACGAGTCATCAGTCGTCCCACCCTAGCTTTCACATCTAGTGATGCAGCGGGACAAGTTTTGAAAACTTTAATTCCAAGCTTCCTCCCCTCATCTCTCCTCCCCCCCACCCCACCCCGCCCCCTTCTCCTCCCGCCGCCGCCAACCCGCCTGGCCCCCTGGGCTTGAACTTGAAGTCTGGAACAAAGCGAAGTGGAAGTGAGTCCAGTTATTCCGATTACACACAATCCAGTGAAGGAGTCAGTTCCTCACGGAATACAACTCCCCCCACACCCATCCCTAACCTCCGCCCCGCCCGGCACCGGCTCTGTCACAGGAGGGGCTGACGTTAGGGCCCCGGCGACGCCGCGGCCCGGGCGCCGGAGCCCAGGCCGCCCCCGCCCGCCCCGCGCGGCAGCACCGCCCGCCCCGCGGCCGCCCGCGCGCCCGCCTTCCGGCCGGTTGCCCGGCGACGCCTGAGGCGGACAGAATGAGGCCATGGCTCAGGTGCGGGAGGAGCTGCCGAAGAAGAAGCGTCTGGACGCGCAGGGAGTTCTGCGGCACGAAGTGAGTGCGCCCGGGCCGCCTGTCCCGCCGGCGGCGTGGAGGCCGCCCCGCCCCGGCCGCCCGCCCCGCCGCCCCGCCGCCTCCCAGCGGCCGCCCTGCCGCCCCGCCGCCCCCCAGCGGCCGCCCCGCCGCCCCGCCGCCCCCCAGCGGCCGCCCCGGCCCGGGCCCGGCGGGCGGACTCCGGGAGGCGGGCGTGGCGGCTGCGGGGACAAACCCAGTGAGTGCGGCCCGGCCGCGCAGGTTGGGGTGTTGGTGCAGGTTCCACCGCTCCCCTCCGCACACAGCCTCCTGGGCCCGGGCGGCCCGGGCGGGGGCGGGAGGCCGGGGCGCAGCTCCGGGGCTGCGGGGCCCTGGCCCTCTGCCGGCTCCTCCGGGGAGTGTCCAGCTCCGCACCCGTTACAGGGCGTCCCGGGCCTCCCTGCGCTGTGGTCCGAGTCCCAGTTAACGGGCTGATGGCTAGGAGGGGCCTGGAGACCGCGCAGACCAAGTTCTGTAACTCCCCCTGCTTCCCATGGAAACCACATTGAAACAAGCAGGGAGGAGGAAATCCGGACTTCATGTAAAACACACACACACACACACACACACACACACACCCCACTTTAAGATTCTACATAAAGCAACTCATGGAATTACTGTTAAATGTTATTGTGAGACGTGGATTGTAAATTGAACTTTTCATTGTTTTTTGCTGCAATCATTTTATTTTACAACAGATGGGATTGCGATTAGGCATGTGGTACTGGAGAGATGAAAGCAAAACTCTTGAATTCAGAAGGTAAATTTTAATAAAATTTTATTATCACTTTTTATAAAAAATTATATGTGCTTGGAGTAAAAATAAAAAATTCAAACAATACAGAAGGGTATAGAGAATAAAATAAATATATGCTGTAAACCCCGTTCAATGATAGGCACTATCTTACTTATCTTCCTGACTCTAGAGCCATTTACAGAATTTCTCAAAATAGACATTCACCAAATATTTGCTTTTCAATAAACCAATTAGATTCAAGCACAGGAAGACTAGAGGCAGGGGATCAATTAGAAGGCTAGTTGTAGGAGGATTACAAATAGTTACACAGGTAGAAACAGTCAGTCAGGACTAAGTCCATGTTGGTAGCAATAGAGAGATGGGCGCAGGACTAAGAAATATTTTAAAGATATTTGCGTAGAATTGATAGAATGTGGTACCTGGGTGTGAAGGGAGAGGGAGAATTAGGTGTTTAGACTGACCCCCAGATATCTGGTTTGAGTAATTGGGTGGCTGGGATTGCCCATTACCCATATGCAGACTGAAAGAGGTAAAATTGTGATGTGTTTGACATGTTCACATGGATACGTGTTTTAGACTGTTTGACAAATGAGGCTGGAGGCCAGGAAAGGTGTTGGCTAAGCAGATGTAACTTATAGTTACATTATATTTAATGCTAATTAAACAAACAATTTAAAGACTAAGCAGTACATTAGAATCATAATCAAACTTTTATATTTCATTGAGTATCTATTTCAGGATTTGAGTAATTAGTCATTTCCAAAGCAGTGATTTCAGTTTGTCCTCAGATATCTCAGAAAATTTTTGTTGGACAATACTTTTTACTTACTGACCTTCTTTATAAGTTAAATAAAATTGTAGTATTTTTAAACTAATTCTCATATAAGCATTACTTAAAAACAATTTTTTTATTTGTCCTCATCTGAGGATATTTTTCCATTGAATTTTTGAGAGAGTGGTAGGGAGGAAGGGAGACACACACAGAGAGAGACACATTGATGTGTTGTTGTCTCCCACATGTACCCCGAGCAGCACCAGAGATGGAGCATCCTTCAATCCACAGGCTGACACTCTATCCACTGAGCCAAACTGGCTAGAGCAGAATTAGTATTATTTTTAAAAACTAATTACATATCTTATTTTCCATTCAAGCCTACTAATAAATTACAGATAGCAGTTTTACACCGACTTTCTTATTCACAAAATATTCATATTCATAAATGAAAGTTTCTTTTCATTTATTACCAAATTATTATTTGAAAATAGCTTGATTGATTTCCACTAATTTTGGAGAATATACATGGGATGGTTGCTTTGAAAGGGAGATTACATGCACAATGTTGAACAAAAAAGGCTAGACACAAAAATGTAAATATGCTTGTACTTACATATGAGTTTCAAATAGACCGAAAGAAAACCTATAATGGCCCAGCTGGCATGGCTCAGTGGTTGAGCTTTGCTCTATGACCCAGGAGTCATGGTTTGATGCCCAGTCAAGGCACATGCCATGGTTGCAGGCTGGATCCCCAGTTGGGGGTGTGCAGAAGGCAGTCAAACAATGATTCTCTCTCATCATTGATGTTTCTATCACGCTCTCCCTTTCCTTTCCTCTTTGAAGTTAATAAAAAAAAAATAACTGTAATGATAGATGTCAGAATAACCATCAGCTTTGGGGAGTTATCAACTAGCAAGGGCTGGAGAGAAGGCACAAGAGAATCTTCTGGGTAATGGTTACATGGGTATATATACATAGTAAAAAAATTCATCCATCTGTCCACTTCAGAGTTATATACTTTACTTCCTGTAAGTTATATCTCAATTTAAAAAGTTAAACAAACAAATCCCAAACTATGGACTCTGTGGAATCTACAAATTGGGGCCAGTTAGGAAAGATGGGGAAAGGACATCATGGGGAATAGATGGGAGGGCAGCTCTTTTGTCGTGGGGCTACTTTGTGGTAAAGCAACTCTGTGTGGCAGACCTCAATGTCAGGGTCACCTTGGGAGTCCAGCTGCTAGGATAATGCTGGGGAAGAGGAAAGAGAACATTGTGTTTAGGTCAGAGTTAGTGCTTGGATTTGATGGTAATATAGGTCCTGATTCTCTGTTAAAGTCTACGTATGCATATCCCATCACAAGTTAGAATGTAGGTTTGAAGTCAGAGAGGACTCGAGAGAGGGCCTTTTTTCCAGAGACAGGCCACCTCAGGGCATGGTGGTGAGACAGGGCAGAGGCAGAGGAGGTTGAGAGGGGCAGTGGTAAGGGCAGATGCTGCAGAGGCAGAAGGTCACTGCTCTCAGACTTAGTTCTGTTGGGTATTGCTCCACGAGTCTCTGCTGAACGTACAGGACTGCACTGCATCTATGCTCTAGCCCTCTCCCACGGTAGCATGGAGGGGTGAGATTAGAACTAGGGAGACAAGACAGTGCTGCAGCAAACCAAGGAGGGAGGGGGGGATGACTTGCAGGGGAAAGGAGAGTCAGACTCCCTCTAGAGCTAGCCAAAGAGGAAGAATGATTAGACAAGTCAAAGGAAGGCTTCCTGGAGGAGGGGCTAGCCAAGCCAAGGGCTGAGAAGGGGCAGGAATTGACAAGGCAAAGGGAGGTTGGGTTGGGGAGGAAGAGAGTGCATTCTAGGCAGAAGGAACGTGCAAAAGCCCATTCTTGAGAGGGCGTGGGGCATGTCTGGGAGTGCAGGTAGTTCAGCAGGCTGGGTGTAGAGTTCCAAGTGTCAAAGAGATAGAGGAGACCAAGGCAAGATCAGGAAAGGTCTTGCATACCATGCCGAAGAAGTTGAAATTTATTCAGAGGATTCGGGGGAGCCGTCAAAGAGTTTTAAGCAGGGCAGTAGCCTGTTATTAGAACTACATCTTAGGAAAATGACTCAGCCTGCAGCATGGAAAATAGTTTGGAGGGAGGCAAGACTGGAGGCAGGGAGATCAACTGAGAAGGAATTGCAGCCCAGCCAGCATGGCTCAGTTGGTTGAAATCATCACAGACACGGAAAGGTTGTTAGTTCCATTTCCGGTCAGGGCACATGTCCAGGTTTCAGGTTTCATCTCCAGTCTGGGCTCGTACAGGAGGCAACCAATTGGTGTTTCACATCTATGTTTCTTCCTCCCTCTCCCTTCCTCAATACAATCAGTAAAAAAAAAAAAAAAAAAAATTTTAATTTAAAAAATTAGAAAAAGAAGCAATTGCTCTGACTGGCATGCTAAGTGGTTAGAGGATCGGTTTGAACACCAAAGGATCTCGGGTTCCATTCCTGGTCAAGGGCACGTACCTGGGTTTCAGGACCCCAAGCTCCACAGTTAGGGCTCTGAGGGAGGCAACCAATCGATATCTCTCTCTCATATAGATGTCTCCCTCCCTCCCTTTCATCCTCTCTAAAAGTCAATTTAAAAAAATCCTCAGGTGAGGATTAAAAAAACAACCACCAATTGCAGAAACTTAGTTAATAGATGCTGCTAGCTAAAATTAAGATTGCAGCAGAGAGAAGAGAGGGAAGTAGAGAAATTGGAAAAATACCAAAGAATTGAATGGTTAGTGGACTGTGAGGGTTTAAGAATGGTAGAGGAATTAAGGATGACACATTTTCTGCCTTGGACACCTGGGCAGGTGGTGGTACCTCTTTGCTGAGATGGAGACAGCAATAGTGAATACAAGTTAAAGAGGAATGAGTTCAGTTTGGACATAGAGTCTGAGGTGTCTGTAGGATGCCCAAGCAAAGGTGTCCAATAGGCAGGTGTGTCAGTTTATATGTCTGCAGAAAGATCTGAACTATAAATATAAATTTGTGAGTTATTGGTATTAATTGAGTAGATTAAATGACTCAGAGGAATTGAAGAGAGTAACCAAATGGAACCCTAAGATAGGCTTTCAATTTAGGGGACACAATTGGGAAAGGGGGCTTTCGGAGACTTAAGAAAGAGCAGCCAGAGGCAAGGAGGAAAATTTGGAGTTTCATGAACCCAGATAATTTGCTTTGCAAAGTAACAGCTTGGTCTAAGGGGCATTCACATCCTAACTGGAAATCTTTCCCTTGGTATAAGTCTCCTTCCACATGGGGCAGGCCACCTTTTACACCTGCTAGCCAACAAGAGCTTGCAGACTTCTAGGTATTTTCAAGTTCAAATTAGGAGAAGAGGTTCCCCAATCTCTTCCCCACCTGGCATTTCCTGGCCTCTTTCCTGGATGAGTGACACTGGAAGTCTTACCCTTCAGAGAAGACCTAGCACCCTCTTCACCGGCAGAGCTTGCCTTACCTTTTCAGATTATACCCTGAGGGAGATACCTATCCCACAGAATACAACAGGATACCCATAACCTCCATGCAAGAAATGGATTCACAGTAACAGACAGGGAAAGAGTGGTCTTTGTTTCTTAACAGGCAGTCAAGGAAGAGACGGTAAAGAGTGGTTTGCAGGGAGACCTGGGTTCATTTCCTAGCTCTCCTGCTTACTAGGTATCAGTCAAGTTGTCAAGTTACTTAGTCCTGCTAATATCAGTCTCTCACCTATAAGATGAAATAATAATGCCTTGTGAGGAATACATGTGAGTGGCCAGATTATTATGATCTCTGAACACAAAATCTGGCCACACTGTGTGTGTGTGTGTGTGTGTGTGTGTGTGTGTGTGTGTGTGTGAGAGTGTGAGAGAGAGAGAGAGAGAGAGAGAGAGAGAGAGAGAGAGAGAGAGAGAGAGAGAGAGAGGTCCAGTGCATGAATTCGTGCATGGGTGGGGTCCGGCCAGCTTGACCAGGAGGAGGTGACATGGTAGTTGGCTGGCCTGCCTGCTGGTCAAACTCCTGCTCAAGGGGACAACTTATATATTAGCCTTTTATTATATAGGATATACACTGAGTGGCTAGATTATTATGCATACAGAGATCATAATAATCTGGCCAATCAGTCTAGATGGTGTTGCATAATTCGTCAGTATGCATGCCCATTTCTTATTTGTTAAAGAGGGAATACCTTTATTTACAGGCCACATCTAGGTTGGCTTGTGAGGCATGCTTCCCTCTGACACAGTGTCAGCACTCCTATCCCTCTTGTCTCAAGTGCCCCTCCTCCCAGCTGGGAGAGAACCAGTAGCTTGTATGAGCCTTTGCCAAAGTCATTGACTCCTCTGAGGACACACAGCAGGGGAACTACGCCTCTGGAAGCCTTGGACTAGTCTTGTTTGTCATTATGGCCTAAGAGAAGACTACTAACTCATCACTGACGAGCTCCAACTTGTATGGAAGCCAAGAGTGGGCCAGCCTTCTGCATTTTAGTGATGGGTTCTGCAGAGAAAATATGATTTTTTTCTCCCTCTCATTTATTTCAGGGCAAAGGGAACCAACATGATTATTGTGTAATATTGGGAAAACATTAACAAAATGCAGTTGTGAAAGGACCAGATTCTAAATGGGTTGTCAGGTTGAGGGGGAGGCTGCGGAGGCCATAGGAGGGTACAGAACTACCTCCTGAGGGTTAGGAGTCAATCAGGTACAGTTCAAAGGACGAAAACAAATGATTACTAGTGATGGTTTTCAGTGATTCCAACTGCACTGAGAGCATAGGCTACCTTTAGAGCTGGGAGGGCACTCACCAAGAAACCTGTTTCATCAGGGAGCTAGAGAACCGGGGCAAGTGTGAAATGGGGAAGGCATGTCCAGAGGTCAGAGAATAAGGACTTAGCAGTGAATGCCGGCTATTGGCTAAGGGCAGGCACAGGCTGCTGCACATTTCAAACCATGAGACCTGGGTCAGATTCTCTGCACCTTGGTCCTCTCCATCAGTGCCAGCCACGAACCAGGTGAGCTTGAGGATATCCTCTCACTCCAAAACTTTATTTTATAATTCTGAGTTTGTTTGACTTGGTTCATAGGTTTGATCTACATGATAGTCACAAATGTATTCTTTCAAAAACTTTTATTTTAGGGCTCTCTAGTCTCAAATTATCTCAAGCAAACTAAGAAGGCAAGAAACTTTGAATTGTAGGACCAGATTCTAGATGAAACTGAGAAAAGGGTACTCAATACATTAAAATCCTCCTCCAAACTTATCATGAGCTTCGTTTCATGTGAAGTGGCTACATTTTCATATGGAAATGTTTCATGTGTTTCAGTATTTTGAAGGTGCTGATATGTAGAGGCTGAATATAAAGATTGAAATTTTAATCTTTTTCTAGATGGTTGTTCCATATGTAAATGCATAAGCTGAGTACTGCTGTGCCTCAAATTCCCTTTAGGCCCACTCACAACATATCCTAGTCCTAAGGTTACAATAGCTACGGTCATGATATGATTAGTTTTCCCTGGGCAAAGGTTAAGTTCCTAATTTTCTCATTTCTGTCACAGTTTTACACCTGCAGTAGAACCCAAGGAAAAAGGAAGGAGAGGCAAAGCTGTTCACTTTGCTGAAATTGATGCTTCAGAGAGGTATCTTAATTTCCCAGCCGTCATAGCACCTCTCAGCAGAATGGGTTAAGTAAGCCTTTACAAACCTGAATATCACTCCCCTTCTCCTACACTGAAATGCAAATACCCATCAAGTAAAGAGAATGCACTATTTTATAATTGTGATGGTAGTTTCAATAGTCCCTATAAATGTATCCCTGTAATAATTTGCCTAGCTTTTTATTTTATTTTATTATTATTTAAAAATATATATTTTATTGATTTTTTTTACAGAGAAGAAGGGAGAAGGATAGAGAGTTAAAAACATCAATGAGAGAGAAACATTGATCAGCTGCCTCCTGCACACGCCCTACTGGATATGTGCCCTCAAGCAAGGTACATGGCCTTGACCGGAATCGAACCTGGGACCCTTGAGTCCGAAGGCCGACACTCTATCTATTGAGCCAAATCAGTTAGGGCACTTTTTATTTTATTTTTAAAAATACATTTTTATTGATTTCAGAGAGAGGAAGTGAGAGAGATAGAAACATCAATAAAGAGAGAATTATTGATTGGCTGTCTCCTGCATGCCCCCTATTGGGGATGGAGCCGGCAACCTGGTATGTGCCTGACTGGGAATCAAACCATGACCTCTTGGTTCATGGGTTGACATTCAGCCACTGAGCCGCATCGGCTGGGCAACTTTTAGCTTTTTTTAAAATCTGAAAATAATCTTCCCTTAAACAAAACCAAGCTTGAGAACTAGGCTCTTGATACTTAATAGTAAAAGCCTCATGTACCTCAGGATAGATTAAAATCAACTAAAACCTTTCAAAGCACTACTGGAGACTGTTATATTCTAAACAGGTTGACAGATAAAAGACTTGCTTCCAGAGAGGCTAAGTCACCTCAAGCCTTAGAGAAACGAGGTCTGCAGGGCAACGTTACACTGAATGATGTCAAGTGTGAGTAACTGCTTCCTCATCCTATGTCTTACCTGGTGTGACCCTCTAAGGCAGCTCTTTGTTCTTCTTTCAATTGTCCCTCTTCTTTTTTGTAGTTGTTGCTTTGCTTTTGCTACAAGAGAGCGAGATGCAGCGGGTCTGTGCCTTTTCATCTTTTATGAGGTATGTAATGCTTATGAGACATTTTAGATCTTTTATCCTTTATTATAAAGAAACTAGAGGCCCGATGCACGAAATTCGTGCAAGAGTAAGCCTTCCTTCCCCCAGCTGCTGATACCAGCTTCCCTCTGGCTTCTGGCAAGGACCTGGGTCCTGGGCTTCCCTCACAGCCTTGGCTTCGTCTGGAAGGTCATTCGACTGTCTGGTCTAATTAGCATATTATGCTTTTATTATATAGGATTATATTTGATAAATGATGACAAATTTGATTTTTGGAGAAAGGCCATGGGGCTGTCTCTATGCATGCCATCCTCTCATGAACCAGGCCAAAGAGAGGATGCCAGAAGGCATAGGAGCCCACAATAAAGTCTCCGGGCAAGGGAGGCGGAGAGCATGTTGGGAGATGAATATGCTGATGTTTCCTGAGTTGCTCTTCCCAAGTAAACTGCTTACTCTCAAATCTTTCTGCCTTCGGGTTGGTTTCTGGGAGGACCCAACCCAAGACAGGTAGTTATTAATATCCTGGGGAAAACCTGCAATGCTTACCTTCATCCAGCTCTCAAGATATAGTTAAAGAAAACATGCCCTTTTGGGGTTGGAAAGGAGGCAGTAAAAGTCTTGTAAGAATATTTAGAAAGAAAACAGTGACTTCTAATATAAAAACAAATGAGAAAGGATTGTAAATCAGTGCAATCTTTTTCGAGAGCAAGACTTATGAAACTTTAATATGCATATATAGTGTGTCTTAGCAATTTCACCTAGCAAGTTACCCAGAGCTATGGTCACTTGCAAAATCACTGCAGTAATATCTACAATTATATATATATTTTTTTAATTGATTTTTTTACAGAGAGGAAGGGAGACATCAATGTGAGAGAAAAACATTCTTAGAATTAATATATTTTATTGAATTTTTACAGAGAAGAAGGGAGACAGATAGTTAGAAACATTGATGAGAGAGAGTCATCGATCAGCTGCCTCTTGCACACCCCCTACTGTATGCCCACAACTAAGGTACATGCCCCTGACCGGAATCGAACCCAGGACCCTTCAGTCCGCAGGCCTACGCTCTATCCACTGAGCCAAACTGGTTTCGGCAACCATGTCATTAGTCTTGTACTGACTGACTTGTTTGGTGTGGGCAACAGGAAATATTTTGCTTTAGGAGAACAAGAAAAATAGGTTTATTTGCATTATGCTTATTAATTTGTGCAGTTATTAAAGAGTCTGGTAAGTTAATGTTCAAGAAAACATATTAATTTTTATTAAAATGTATTATTTTAATGATTACTCATTTATTTCAGCCCTTTGTATTGAGCATGTCTCTATCAAAATAAACTAACGTTTCTATGAACATTGAAGCTTTTTAAAAAATATATATTTCATTGATATTTTACAGAGAGGAAGAGAGAGGATTAGAGAGTTAGAAACATGGATCAGCTGCCTCCTGCACACCCCCTACTGGGGATGTGTCCTTGACCGGAATCAAACCTGGGACCTTTCAGCCAATGCTCTATCCACTGAGCCAAAAACGGTTTTGGCGAAGCTTTTGGTTTTTTTTTTAACACTCACATAAACTTAAACTTTGTTTATTTGGCCCGATTTGCCATTGAGTTTGACATGCTTGCTTTAGGAAGTTAGGGAAGTGTAAATATTTCTTTTCCACGTCCAGCCTGCTAGAGAGCGGTCCAGTTCCTGAGTAGGGGAAGCTGGGGGTTGAGAAAAATGGAAGAAAAAGATAGACACAGAGATAGAAGGAAAAAGATGGGACTGGATGGACCACTGCCCTCTTCTGATGGAGAGACAGTGACCCAGAACCCATACGGCTTGTTTATTTTATACCCCAAATACCAGGAAGTTTTATTAAAAGTCAAGACAAACGAGATTATTTACATTCTTGGGTGGGCTTGAGTCATATTCAATACTGGTGCTTGGCTGGATTTAAATAGTAAAACCCACTCCCTGGCACCTGGGCAGAAGTGAAGACCAAGCTGACAACACTTCTGCCTTTTGGCAGAGCATGTTTCCAGGGCGTGGCTTTGCCTACCGCCCTCGATTCAGCTGACAATTTAAAGAAATGCCCATGTGCCTTCCCGGACGCTCTCCACAGGTAAGGATTCATAACCGACTTGAATAGGATGGTGACAGAGGGGTAAGAGGAGAGAACTTTTTACTTGCTACATAGGTGTATCTTTTTTAAAACAATGGGGAAATATTACTTGTGTAATAAAAACTTTTTAAAATTTAAAAATAATTGATAAGCAAAGCATCAATTTAAGTTATCAATTAGCAGAATTATAATTTCATGTCTGACCTTCCAAAAAGCCTTATTTGAAAAATCAGATTTCTTACATCTTCAATAGATTTCTTACATTTAATAGAATTTTAAATGGGGAAGTAATTATATGGTAGATATGATAACATGTATTTCTACTTATTATGCGGCCTTCATATATGTTTTTGAGAAACCTATGTTTGAAATATGTTAGTGCTAATACCTTTTATTTTCATCTCCCATAGGAATAAGAATCTTGATAATTTCCTCATGGCATTATTGTACTATTTATCTCATTTCTTGGAAAAAAACTCACTGGAAAAGAAGCCCAAAAGCTATATGGTGTAAGCTGTATTTTGTGATGTGCTTTAGAGTTTTACCAGTATTAAAATGAACTTTTGTTTGTGGTGAAGAGGTGATGGAAAATTTTAAATCTTTGTGGTAAACTAAAACATTTTACATGAGAGGAGCTCACCAGTTTTTAAAGTTCACTGGATAACTCACCCAATGGATATTCTGGTGGGGAAAAAAATTCCAGCCCTAACCGGTTTGGCTCAGTGGATAGAGCATCAGCCTGCGGACTCAAGGGTCCCAGGTTCAATTCTGGTCAAGGGCATTTACCTTGGTTGCAGGCACATACCAAGTAGGGAGTGTGTCCAAGGCAGCTGATCTATGTTTCTCTCTCATTGATGTTTCTAGCTCTCTATCTCTCTCCCTTCTCTGTAAAGAATCAATAAAATATATTTTAAAAATAAAAAATAAATTAAAAAAAATTCCAAATAATATAGACTAGCACGCCCAATAGGAATATAATTAGAGCCACATATGAAATTAAAAGTTTCTAGTAGCCATATTTTTATTTTTTAAAACATATTTTTATTGATTTCAGAGAGGAAGAGAGAGAGATAGAAACTCAATGATGAGAGAGAATCTTGATCAGCTGCCTCCTGCATGCCCCCTGCTGGTGATCAAGTCCACAATCCAGGAATGTGCTCTTGACTCAATTGAACCCAGGACCCTTCAGTCTGCAGACTGACACATACAAGTGAAATTAATTTTAATATATTTTATTTAATTCAATGACCCCAAAATATTATTATAATATTCAGTCAATATTAGGTAGTTATCAATGAAGTGATTTACTATTTTTTAATTTAATTTTTATTTTTTTAAATATATTTTATTGATTTTTCACAGAGAGGAAGAGAGAGATAGAGAGTTAGAAACATCAATGAGAGAGAATCATCGATCAGCTGCCTCTTGCACACCCCCTACTGGGGATGTGCCCGCAACCAAGGTACATGCCCCCGCCCGGAATCGAACCCGGGACCTTTCAGTCTGCAGGCCGACGCTCTATCCACTGAGCCAAACTGGTCCTGGTGATTTACTATTTTTTTAATAAGTCTTTGAAATTTGGTATCTACTTTATATATAAAACATATCTCAATTTAGATTAACCACAGTAAGTTTTCTTTAGCCACATGTAACTTCATGGATACCATATTGGACAGTATAGATATAAATATTATGTGTATGCTTTTTTATGCTTACAAAGTTCTTGCTAAAAGGTTTGTAAGTGACTAGTAAAAAACTAAGCATTAGCCAAAACCAGTTTGTGCGGGCACATCCCCAGTGTGTGTGTGTGTGTGTGTGCAGAAGGCAGCTGATCAATGTTTCTCTCTCATCGATATTTCTAAGCCTCTATCCCTCTCCATTCCTCTCTGTTAAAAATTAACAAAATATATGAAAAACAAAACAAGAGGAAAAAACAAAAAACTAAGCATTAAAAAATTGAACAGACTTAACCCTAACTGGTTTGGCTCAGTGGACAGAGTGTTGGCCTGTGGACTCAAGGGTCCCAGGTTTGATTCTGGTCAAGAGCATGTACCTTGGTTGCAGGCACATACCCCGTAGGGAGTGTGCAGGAGGCAGCTGATCTGTTTCTCTCTCATAAATGTTTCTAACTCTCTATCCCTCTCCCTTCCTCTCTGTAAAAAATCAATAAAATATATTTTTAAAATTTAACAAAAATAGCATTTCATATCACAGGGGGAAAAAACCCCCACAAAATTTCTTAGGCTGCATGTGAAGAATTTAACTGTGTTAGACAAAGGTGACTCAGAACAACACACACGGAAAGAATCTGGAACTCAGAATCCAGAGCAGAACAATGCCTCTCGGGCTTGGTGACCTTTCCAAAGCCATGGAACTTTCCAAGTGCCCAGCCTGCCCTTTGCCAGTGCATGTGGACCCAACCCGGTGATTTAGCTGTTGGGAATGCTGGCAGAGTCAGTAACCTATCGCTGCAGGATATTTTCAAATGCAAAATCCTTGTATACAACCAAGCAGTCTGATTTGATGGATAGATACATATATCTGAACAGCAGCTTTGTAAAGAACCAAATAAATAACTCACACACTACTGCTCCATTTAAGCCATCATAATATGCAACATCCATGTCATTTCAGATCTGCTTTTCAGAGCAGGGCATCCAGAGATCAGAAAGTGCTTCTGTGGGAGCCAGCAAAGGGGCTCACGCCGACTGTGGGCTCAGAATGGCTGAGGCGTCTTACTATTCCCAAACAGAAACTCTCTGGACTTTGGTGGCATGTTAGCTTATGTGGTGTAAGGTGTTTCCTCTCCTAATTCTGAGGAATGTTGTTAGTATGGCAGATATTTGTTTCATTTCTTAATTTATGGAAATAGGTAACAGAAGAAAGGTTTTTTAGTTAAGACTTATTCAAACACAGTGGTATAAGGTAGGCTTTCTTAGAAGGACTCAGTTACAGAATGATAAAGAACAAGTGCATTATCTTTTGAGCATGCCCGTGCCTTCTTCCAACCTTCTTTTCTCAGGTGTGTATTTTCCCTTTCTTTCTCCTAAGCTTCCAGGGTTCTCAGGAGATTGCAAGTAGGGGAGCAGCGAGCAGCAACAACTCACCTGGGCTAACTCCCTGAGCCTGTCTCCAGGGGTCCTTCTTTTGCCTCTATAACTTGTTTCCTGAGCCCATTAGCCCAGCTGGCTCACTTTTTTCACCTCCGTGACTTTCCTTCCAAAAAGCCAAGGCAGCTTCACCGAGGCTCACCTTCCTCATGTTTCCAAACAGTCAGGGCAGCTCCGCCTAGGCTCCTCCTGTTGCTATGATTTTGCCTCTGCTAGCTTAAGATCTTCCTCTGATTTTCTGTCCCCAGCTTTAATAAACATATTCTCAAATAAATAAATAAGACTTCAAATCATTGATTCTATGGTGTGATCCTGAAAAAATTATGGTAACTTCATTTTCAGGCTTACAGTAGTCTGTTGCTTTACTTATTATCATTGAAACTAGAAGTCTGGTTCACGAATTCGTGCACAGAGTGGGGAGTGTCCCTCAGCCCAGCCTGCACCTTCTCCAATCTGGGACCCTTTGAGGGATGTCCCTCTTACAATCCAGGACTGCTGGCTCCCAGCTGTTCACCTGCCTGCCTTCCTGATGGCCCCTAACCATTTTTGCCTGCCAGCCCGATCATCCCCTAATCACTCCCCTGCTAGCCTCTTTGCCCCCAACTTCTCTCCTCTGCAGGACTGGTCACCCCCATCTGCCTTCCCCTGCAGGCCTGGGTCCTCCCCGCCAACCTGCTCTCCCTTGCAGTCCTGGGTCTCCCCCAACTGCTCTTCCCTGCAGGCCCTGTTGCCCCCAACTTTCCTCCCCTAACTGTCTTCCCCTGCAGGCTTGAGTAATAATGCATATTATCTTAACCTAGTGCTTGGCACTTGGAAGAAAGGCCAAACTGTGAGAGAAGAGCAGAAAGGGAGGTGGAAGGATAGCAAAGATACCTTTGTTGGTTTTAGATGATCAAAACCCCTATTTCCAGAAGAAGAAGCTTTATCTGCATTTTACAGAAGAAGAAGAAACTATGGCTCAGAAAGGTTAAATAGTGGGCATATCCTGAAATTGGTGACATTAGAACCCAGGCCTGCCTAACTCCAAAGTCTGCTCAAACCAGTGTGCAAAGTGCCCACCACCTGCTACCAACCAACTCTGCTGGCTTTTCCACAGTTCATCCACTTATAATTGGGAATTACAGTGGATAGATGTTGATGTGAACAAAACTGACTCCATCTCTGTATCCCAGCTTTTGTTTCTCTTCAAGTTTCCATGCTGAGAACTCTGACCTAATTATTTTCCACCAGCACTAAAGCCTCAGTTAATGATTAGCTGTGCCTGTAAACTCACACAATGTAATTATAAAGGTTTCTGTCAGTAAATGGCCAGAATGATATAGCAACTGAGATAAATATCAAACTCAATGTTGGCATCAATTCTAAGCAAGTACCCACCAGGAGATATGGTTTCTGGCTTGTACTGCATTCTTCGTCTCGCCAGTCATTAGTATTCCATCTATACTATAGGATATTGGCTGTAATAGCTGTCTGATGGCAGAGTTTGCTATGCAGACCTAGACCACTGGATTGCCTGTCTGCCCCAATTTTGTCCCTTGCAAGTAACGTACCCTGTAGTAAATTCTATTATAATGAATGGACTTGCCTGCTTCATTTTTGAGTCTTAAGATATCTCTGTGATTCAGTGGTCACTGTACCTCTACTCCACCGTCAGACATATAGTTTCTGAACAAAGGCACACTTATGTATGCAGTTATTTTAATGTATGCAGTTTTAAACATCATGTCATAAGTCTTTTTTGTTATTACAGTCTTTATAATTATAATTTTAAAAATATATTATTATTGATTTCAAGCCTACCTTATATCACTGCGAGGAAGGGAGAGGGAGATATATAAACATCAATGAAGAGAGAGAACCATGGATTGGCTGCTTCCTGCACGCCCCCAACTGGAGGTTGAGCCCAAAACCCGTGCATGTGCCCTGACTGGGAAGCAAACCAGTGACCTCCTGGTTCATGGGCGGATGCTCAACCACTGGCTGGGCCTTAGTTACAATTTTTAATGGTGGCATAACATTTCATCAATCTAATATATGTTATATTGACTTACTGATTTACCTCTTAAGAGACAGTACGGTTTAGTGGTTAAGGGTACAAACTCTGGTGCGTGGCTTAAATTTCACAGGAGTCACACATTAAGTTAAATGCTATATTAAGTACCTGGCTATATATATATTATATATTTTGGAAACTTCTAGTTTTTCTGATAAAAGATAAATAATGATTGTAATTGAATATCTTTTTAAAATTTTCTTTATTGATTAAGGTATTACATATGTGTCCTTATTTCCCAATTACTCCCCACTCCCTGTATTGAATATCTTTATGCATTAAATTTTCCCCCTAATTTTGGAAGATTAAAAAAAATTTCGGGAGAGATTATTGGATCAAAGTTTATGATCAATTGTATGGCGCTTGAAATTATTATCAAACTTTTCCCCCAGAGGGTTATACCTGGGCTTGTTTTAAATGTCAGATTCTACCCCAACTTACTGAGCCCGAATCTTTGAGAGGGGGTGGCTTTGGGAATCTGCACTTTTAGTAAGAAACCCCAGGCGATTCTTACATATATTAAAACTTGAGAACCATTGGCCTAAAAGTCTTCAGGTCTTTCTTGACTGTTGTTTGCTTTATTTTGTTTACAAAAACAAAAGAATTTTAGCTAGTGGCAGCTCTGGCAAAGCAGGGGTGGATGGCGAGGGTGGGGACTATGGAAGGACACAGGCAGGCAGGCACAGCGATGGCTGTCTGGTGCTTGCGGGAATGTGTGTTGGGTTATGGGAAATTTGGTTTAAATCTTTCTGAAAATTAAAAGGCAAGAAAAATGCTGCCCGGCTGGTATGGTTCAATGATTGATTGGCAACCCATGAACCACGAGGCCACTGGTTTGATTCCTGTCAGGGCACATGCCCGGTTTCAGGCTCAGGCCATGCAGACGGCAGACGATAGATGTTTCTCTCTCTCCCTCTCCCTTCCTCTCTGAAATCAATTTAAAAAATTTTAAAGAAAAAAGTTAATGACATGTTTTCAATAGCAGTCATTGGAATATGTTGCGGGCAATATTGTTCCCTTCTATACTGCAAGAACTATTTTATTTTATCTTATTTTATTTTATTCATTAAGTTGATTGGGGTGCTATTAGTCAATATGAACATGTAAGTTTCAGGTGTGGGCTTCTATGTTATAAGATCTGTATATTGCACTGTGTGCCCACACCCAAAGTCAAATCTCCTGTCATCTTATTTTGGGCCCCCCTTCTCCCTCTATCTCCTCTCTGGCAGTGACCACACTGCTGTTTATGCTCATGAGTTTCAATTTTATATCCCATGTATAAGTGAAATCATATGGTTCTTAGCTTTTTTCTGACTGACTTATTCACTTAGCATAATGTTCTGAAGGTCCATCCATTGCAAAAACTTCTAACATGCTCCAGACATGCTGCAACCTAAGAACAGGCTGCCTTAAAGTTCATCTGCAATTCAGTTCAAACTGGGATATGTTTTCAAGGGGAAGAAAGGTTATTGTAATTATTGCCAAAGTTCCACAGATGCTTGCCGAGCAAACACAGAGGTGCGAATAGGCTCACATTGAGCCCCAGCCCTTGGCAGTGAGTGACATCAGGAACCCAGGGAAGCTCAGGTGGCAGTCTTCACATTTTAGCAAAACGGCAGGGAAGTGGGATAAATTAGGACTGCCTGTGTATAAAGTTAAGGATATACCGCATAAAGTATAAAGAATCTATAAAAAGCCGAAACCGCAGTGGATAGAGCGGAGTGAAGGGTCCCAGGTTCGATTCCGGTCAAGGGCATGTGTATTGGTTGCGGGCACATCCCTGGTAGGGGGTGTGCAGGAGGCAGCTGGTCTGTGTCTCTCTCTCATCGATGTTTCTGGCTCTCTCTCCCTCTCCCTTCCTCTCTGTAAAAAACCAATAAAATATATTTTAAAAAGAAAAAAAATCTATAAAAAGTTGAAACTGGCTGACATGGTTCAATGGTTGAGAATCGACCTATGAACTAGGTCATGGTTTGATTCCCAGCACATGCCTGGGCTGCAGGCTCGATCCTCAGTATAGAGTGTGTAGAAGGCAGCCTATCAATGAGTCTGTCATCACTGATGTCGCTTCTCCCTCTCCCCCCTCCCCTCTCTCTCTCTCTGTCTTTCCTCTCTGAAATAAATAAAAAATATTTTTTTTATAAGTGAAAATTCACCATAAATCTGAGATGCTGATGACAGTGATAAATACCAAAATATCAAAGGACTTTGAGGACCTCTGCCACAGCTTGAATAAAATAGATGAAAGGGTTGTCTGGTGTGTGGATTCACTTGTATTTCCTTCAAAATAGTTTATACTTCTGGCTTTCCATTAATTAATGTAGGCATTTGCCAAAATTAATCCAAATGATCTTTTTCTTTTCAGGGGCCTTGTGGAGAAAAAAGAGATGGAACTGGTTTTAACTAAGTTAGAAGCGGCACAGAAAAACTTGGCACAGAAGTACTGTGTCCTTGTCCTGGGCTTGGGAATGCCCGAAAAGCATCACATGTGCTGCGGGAGGTGAGTGCACACTTAGGATTTCATTCCAGCTTCATCTGTTTGTATATCCACATCCTTAAAATTCTTAAATTTGACTTTCGGTGCCCGGGAGAAAGGGTCCTTTTTTGTTGTGCAGAATAATTGAGCTCAGCTGAGGCTCTGCTTCTAAAACACGTGATGTTCCTTTTGAGAAAGGAAAGTATGGGAAGAATCCCAGAATCTCTGCTGATATTTCAACAACCATCTACTCACTGCTTGGGTTTAAATATGTCTTCTCTCAGTCCTGGCTGGTTTGCTCCAGTTAGAGCGTTAACCTGGGGACCCAAGGGTCTTGGGTTTGATTCCCAGCCAAGGGCATGTACCTGCATTGCAGGTTTGTCTCTGGCTCCTGTCAGGGCACGTGCCAGATGCAACCAGTCAATGTGTCTCTCTTGCTCCCCTTCTCTTCTCTAAAAAAATCAATGGAAAAAATATCCCCAGGTGAGGATTAACAACAAGAAACGTCTTTTCTCTCAGCATATGTCAGATTAATGGAATCTTGCTCTCAACTAGGAAGGCTTCCTGCTGCCACACAAAGGCCACTGGGCTGCCTTGCAAGGGAGACCGAGGGATGGGCCAGTGTTTGATGGGTGTGTCCCCTGCCCTTTTCCTGCTTGTTTTCATGCAACAACAGTTGTGGATACAAGCTAGTGAGGCTTGTATCCCTTCCCCTGTTTGTGGGAAGGCAGTTTTTACCTAAGGATGACAATTCATACACTACAGTAATTAAAAATTTAAAGTGTCTTGCCCGGCCGGTGTCGCTCAGCATCCACTCATGAACTAGGAGGTCAAAGTTCCATTCCCAGTCAGGACACATGCCAGGATTTCAGCCTTGATGCCCAGTAGGGAACATGTAGGAGGCAGCCAATCGATGATTCTCTCTCATCATTGAGGTTTCTATTCCTTTTTCCCTCTCCCTGTTTCTGAAAGCAATAAAAATATATTTAAAATTTTTAATTATTTTTTTTGCTTTATTTATGCTACTTTTTTTATTCATTCATTTATTTAAATTTATTGGCGTGACATGAACAGATAGGTTTCAGGTGTATGTTTCTATGTTATAAGATCTATATATTATACTGAGTGCCCACCACCCAAAGTCAGATCTTCTGTCACCACCTGTGAGGGCTTCCTCAAATAGGACTTGAGTTTATTGTTGTTTATAATATATTGATATATTTTCAGTTCAGGCTCATTTTCTTTGTTTTTGTTTGTTTGTTTTGTTTATACATTAGTTTACCTGTGGTTTTACTTTCTGAGATTTTCATTACTCGTGGTCAACTATGGTCTGAAAATATTAAATGGAAAATTGAAGAAATAAGCAATTCACAAGTTAGGTCGCACTCTGTTCTGAGTATTGTGATGAAATCTCATGCCATCCTGCTCCATCCTGGGATGTGAATTGTCCCTTTGTCCATCGTCTCCACGCTGTGTAGCTCCCTGCCCATTAATCACTAGTGTCTCATTCAGAAGGAAGAGCACACTGCTGTCCCCAGGCATATATTATATTTGTATGGTATACTGATATCTTTCCACTTCTTATTGCACCCAATCACCATAACCATTGTTTATGATTTCTTTTCTTTTTCTTCATTTTAGACTTACCCTCTGGTTGCTTTATTTCCATACCTACTAACACCTTATGTTGCCTCTTCATCATATTTCCACTCCACCCCACACTCACATCACTAGTAGCATTTGGAAGAATACATTTCTTGGCTTGTTTATCCTGAATTTGTATCAATTAACCTTGGATAAAACACTCCAGGAGTTTCAATCTAGGTAATCTAAAAAGTTGGAGAAAAACACATTGGGACTCATTACCAACGTATCTTGCCAGCACTTATGTGCCTAAATAGTCTTGGGGCAACAGGTATTAATCCTGCAAAGGGACCTTTTGAAGATAAGGATTTGTGTAGATCACTGAACATTTGAGCTTCCCTCTCAACCTAGAATTGTGATCTGTTATATTGCAGGGAGAAAATATCAAATACACAAAAAGACTGGAAATTCTTTGAGGTGAGTCACTTACGTTTGGGGCTTTTCTCTTTGTTGTAAACTTGAAGGATAGCAATAACTAATAGCCATTTGCCAGGTGCTTATTGATAGTGAATACCCCTTTTCAAAAGGATGCTAACAAACTGTATTTTTGGTCTGACTTTCCTCCTACAGAGATTAGTAAATGTGTAATTCCCCACAGTTTTTTAGGAATGTTGAAAAATTGGATTGTCTGTGTTTACATCTATTTAGCAGTTTTATATAGACAGGTGGGGGTTTTCCATACCATAGCTCTGGGTTGTGATTCTTGCCTATTTTCCGTTGTAGTCCTTTTATACTTTCTGTACATATGTAGCTTGGATTGTTTTTCGACGTCAACATTTCTCAGAGATTGAGGAAGAAATAGGGAGGCTCTTTCGTACCAATATGTTCAATATTCCTCGAAGGAAGCGTGAGGATGAAGAATCAGGAGGTGAAAAGAAACGCATGACATTTGTACAATTCCGGTATGGCCTTCTGACATTCCTAAGCTCAAGAATATTTCTAGAAAATAGGATGATATGACCTACATGTCACCTTTACCCCCATAGGAGAATGATGGCAAAACGCCCAGCGATTAAAACAGCCATTCACATGCGCTCCCCGGTCATGTCTACCCTGCTGCCATCTCTCAGAGAAAAAGCTCAGAATATCTTTGAGAAAAAGAATCTAATCAGCACCAGATTGCCAGCCCAGATGCAAGAGCACAGAGAAAAGATGGAGTCTGTGCCCATGCCAATGTAAGTGGCCCAAGGAACGAGAAGAGAGGGCCCCGAGGTTGGGCCAGGAAGGGAAGGGGCTCAGACACCATGCCTCTGCCAAAAAGCTGACCAAAGATGAAAGCTCCATCTTCCGGCCCACCCTGCTCCTTTCCACCTGTTTCCTCTCCAGAGGAACACCCAGTTAGACTAGAAAAGATTGCTAGACATTAAGCTAGTTCTAGTTTGGACAAGTGAGTAGCAGACTGTATAAGACTGAGGTTTTTCCATTAGAAGAATCATCTTTGGGAAATACTGGTACAAAATCTGGTGTGGGGCTGAGTTTTTGACCCATATTTAAGACCACAGTGGCTCAGGGAAACAGGGAATGCTTAAAAAAAAAAAAAAAAAAAAAAAAAAAAAAAAAAAAAAAAGCTGTGTGTATGCACACAACCACAGCCATACACACCTTAGTCTTTGGCCTTACTGCTTCAGCTACACCAATAATTCTTTCCACAGAGTTGGCATTTTGGGGCAGCCTCGATGTCTGTTCAACCCCCATACGCTTCTCCCCCTCGAACCAGAAGAAAAATCGTCCGGAAGACAGTCTTTCCTGATAGAAAAAAACAACGTAAAGATTCGGGATACACTGGACTTGGTCATGAAAACGCTGTCCGCTCAAACATCAGTCCCTAAATAATCTGGTACATTCCATTGCTGTAATTAAGTTTGCTTTGTCATTTACTTACCTCCCTGGCTTCTGTGTAACTAGAGTAACATATCAGGACATTTAGCCAGTGTCCTAGTGGACTAGTGAAGAGATATTCTATTTATTAATTTCTAAGTTCATTTTTGCTTTATAACAAAGTGTCTTTGATATGTTTGTAAAAAATTTTATAAAAAGGCAAATTAAATATTTTAAACATTAAATCTCTTTCTATGGCTATATTATTACTGACAGTAAAATATAAAGTATATCTGATTTATTTAAAAGCCTTTTAAGCCAAAACCGGTTTGGCTCAGTGGATAGAGCGTTGGCGTGCAGACTGAAAGGTCCCAGGTTCGATTCCAGTCAAGGACATGTACCTAAGTTGCGGGCACATCCCCAGTAGGGGGTGTGCAAGAGGCAGCTGATTGATGATTCTCTCTCATCGATGTTTCTAACTCTCTATCCCTCTCCCTTCCTCTCTGTAAAAAAATCAATAAAATATATATTTAAAATTTTTTTAAAAAGCCCTTTAATATATATGTTTCATTAATTCTTTTATTGATTCATTTAACAACAAATATGGATTAAGCCCCCTCTCCATTCAAAGCCTTGTGTTGGGTTAGGTAGAGAGAGATCATCATCAAGACGGAGGCCATATCCTCCAGGGCTAGGTAGTAGAAAGGATGAGTAAAATACGTGCCTGTTCGCAAAACAATACTGAAGATGACAGAGGCCAGAAAGAGGTTAACACTGGTGCCCTGAGAGGACAGAGTATAAGAGCAGTCACTTGGGGGGTGGAGGGGAAACGGAAATCATAGTGTTCTGATTGGAATTTGCTGTTGCAAGGACCAGTTGGCACTAAAGAGGGACTTCCAGTCGGAGGAAAAAGGCATGCAAAGGCAGAGATGAACAGTGTGCCCTGTGGCCAAGGAATGGCACAGGCATGATATAGGTAAAAGGGTGTGGTGGTAGAGCAGGCTGGAAGGTCCAGCTGAGTGTCCAGCTAGAGACTGGAGGGATGCTATTTGGTAGACATTGAAGATTAGGAATCTCTAGTGAAGCCAGTTCCCTAGGTGGAATACAGAACTGCTGATTACATAATATTATCATTTTAAAAGTCCTGTAGGCCAAAACCGGTTTGGCTCAGTGGATAGAGGGTCTGCCTGCAGACTGAAAGGTCCCAGGTTTGATTCTGGTCAAGGGCATGTACATTGCTTGCGGGCACATCCCCGGTAGGCGGTGTGTAGGAGGCAGCTGGTCGATGTCTCTCTCTCATCGATGTTTATAGCTCTCTATCCCTCTCTCTTCCTCTCTGTAAAAAAATCAATAAAATATATATTAAAAAATAAATAAATAAAAAATGAAAGTCCTGTAGGAGTTTAGCCAAGTGAAACAACTGCACCGAATTTACCTTTCTGTGCCACAGGATAACATCAAACTCTAATGTCCTTTTAGCATTTAGCTAAAAATTCATTCATTTCATAGAGAAAACTGGATACCTTTCCCAGGTGTAATCCCGGGAGCCGAGGAACGCCAGCTCCAGCCTATTGGTCACGTGGGGCAGCTTCTGTTAAACCTACTCTGTCTTCACTCTCTCATCCTTTATTATCCAGGTTAGTTTCTATTTCTCCTGTTAAAACGGCAAAGTTTCAGTCAAAATCCAGGATTATAAATTAAACCTTGCTGGACTTTTTATTTATGTAGAGAATTTGGTTATAATGCACTCTTTCATAACCCATTTTTATCTAGACCATGTTGACATGGTTTCATTTTTGTTTCTTGTTTTTGCTAATTTTAACAAATACCGCCTGAAAATTGTGAGACTTTTATACTGTCTTTACGAGGGCACTGGGCTTTCTCTGGCTCCTTTCTGAACTGCAAGACTGGTGTACTTCATTTATTAATGCTGTCTTTTGTTTATTAATTATTTCACTCTACAATTACTATGTCCCCATTCTGTGCTGTGCACCATGTTTGGTGCTGGGAACTCAGTGTGGAAAAAATATAGTCATCTCTGACTTGGAACTGACAAGTCTTGGGGGGAAGACAGACAGGAAACAAATATTTAGATAATGAATTAATTGTAATAGTGATGAGTGTGGCAAAAAGAAGAGAATGCTATGAGCGTATATAACCAAAGACTTGCTCATATGTGGGGGATTGTCAGAAAGGGAAAGTCATTCCTGAGGAAGTGACATTGAAATCTGAGACTTGAAGACACATAGCAATTAAAGAGGTGGGAAGTGAGTAGGGGAACATTCCTGACTGTATTAGCTATCTATTGCTGCATAACAAATTACCCCGATAAACAGTAACATTTATTTGCTATCTCACAGTTTCTAGGGATTAGGTATCTGCATACAGCTTAGATGAATCCTCTGACTCGTCACCTCTCAAAAGCTTTCTAAGTGTCAACTCGGTCTGAAGTCATCTAAAGGCTCAATTGGGGTTGATCTGCTTCCAACATGACTTAGTGGTTGTTGGCAGGATTAAGTCCCTGGTAGGCTGTTGGACTGAGACCTCGGCTCCTCATAAGCTATTGGCCCAAGGTCTCCCTCAGTTCCTTGCCATATGAGCCTCTCCATAAGGAGCTTATAACATGTCGGTTGGTTTCATTAGAATGAAGGAATACGAGAGGGAGAGAAAGTGCAAGAAGTTACAGTCATTTACAACCTAATATTCGAACTGATGCCATCACTTTTGCTCTGTTCTATTCATTAGAAGCAAGTCACAAGCACACCCCAAGGGGAGAGGGCCACACAAGGCGGAGAATACCAGGAAGTGAGGATCATTGGGGTCCATCTTAACAGCCAGCCTGCCACACTGGCAGGGGAAACATGCAAAGCTCCTTCAGGTTGTGGTGTAGAGAGGAAGGACAGAAGGGTGAGATGTGGCTGGAGAACAGGCAGGAGCCCTGTCCTGGAAGGGTCTGTAAGTGCAGTACGGATTTATAGATCCAGGAGGCGTGTTGCAATTTGGTTGTTCAGTTTGTGTCTTGCACAAAGGCACCAGTGAAGGGCACAGATGGGGTGAAACCCAAGTACATATCTCAGCCTGATTCTAGTTCTCTCCAGGGGAAGTCCCTGTTTGTAACTCCCAAGTCAACAGCCTTAAATTGAAGCCCTTCGATGGTTTTTCCGAAGGTTTTTCCAAAGGTGTATCAGAGCTTACCAGGAGGGTTCTCTGTTTATTTAAAATATTCAGCAATTAAGAGAATGAAAAGACAAGCTGCAAGCTGAAAAAAATATTCGCAAAACGTATCTGATAGAAAACTTGTGTGCAAAATATAAAGAGTACTCTTAAAATCCAACAACAAGAAAACAAGCAATCCAATGGAAAATAGGCAAAAGATATGAACAGATACCTTACCAAAGAAGATATACACATGACAGATACACAGATGAAGAGATGCTCACCATTATTTGTAACCAGGGAATGCAAGTTTTAAAAGCATGAGGTAACATTACATACTTATGTAAAAAAACAACCACCGACAATACGAAATGCTGGTGAGGATGCTGAACCACAGGAGCGCATTACTGGTGAGAGTCAAAACGATGCAGCCACTTTAGAAGACGGTTTTGAAGTTTCTCAACTTATGTTCCTTATTCATATCCTTTGCTTATTTCCCTATTAATAGACTCCATATTTATCTCTTTTTTTATTGCTTTGTCATTCTTTGAAGAAATTGCAAAGGTTTCTACGAGAAAAACAGGTTATAGAAAAGTTGAATATAGTAATCCTTGTCCAGTGTAAAAAAAAAAAAAAACCTTAGGAAAGTACAAAAAAAAAAAAAGCTCAATCTCACCACCAGGATAACTTATAATTGTTAATGTTTTGTGAACCTTCTTTCAGTCATTCGTGTGCATATTCACCCAAACAAAAATGGGGTCATGCGCGTGCCCTTGCTTGCATCCTCTCTCCTTCACATAGTAATATGTTGTGAACATTCTCCTTCGTCAGCTAGTCTCCCCTGAGACATGATTTTAACTGCTCTGTGGTATTTAGGGTATGAATAGGTCACAGTGTCCTTGCCCAGTCTCTCCTTTTTTGTCACACACATATTGCCACCCATACTACTGACCATTTTCTTAGGATAAAGCCCTGCAAATCACATGGCTGGGTCACAGAGCACACTTTCTTTCTTTTTTTTTTAATTTTTTAAAAAGTATATTTTATTGATTTTTTTTACAGAGAGGAAGGGAGAGAGATAGAGCTAGAAATGTCGATGAGAGAGAAACATTGACCAGCTGCCTCTTGCACACCCCTTACTGGGGATGTGCCCCGCAACCAATGTACATGCCCTTGACCTGAATTGAACCTGGGACCTTTCAGTCCGCAGACCGGTGCTCTACCACTGAGCCAAACCGGTTTCAGCCACAAAGCACACTTTCTCAAGAGCTTACTATTGCCCAGTTTCCTCACAAAGGGCTAGCCCCGAAGCACACCACCTCCATCTGTGTGGGAGAATGCTCACTTCCTCACCTGGGCGTTATTATGTCTGAATCTCTGCATATTCTATGGTAGTGAAAAATGGAATCGTGTGCTTGTTCTGCGTTATACTTCCAATTACCAGTAAGGATGAACACTTCTTTATGTTGGCCATTTGTGTTCTCATTGTGTGAATGATGTACAATAACTTATTCATATCCTTTATTTTCCTAGTAATATACTCTCTCTCTATATATTTTTATTGCTTTGTCATTCTTTGAAGAAATTCCAAAGGTTTCTATGAGAAAAACGGGTTATAGAAAAGTTGAATATAGTAAAATCCCTTGTGTGTAGAAACACACATATATGGGTAATAAGTCTGGAAGAAAATACTGTAACTAAATTATTAACAGTGATTCTGAGAAGTAGGATTATGGATGATTTTTTAAAACATTTATTTGCCTACATGTTTTTTTAAACAATATACATATTTTTAAGTGTCCCTGATTTCTTGCATAGTGGTGACATCCACGCCCACCCAACAGTACACAGGTACCTCATGCCTATGAGCAGAAGATATGAATAGGTAATTAGCCACAACAGTAGAAACACAGGTGGCCAATGTGAAGAGGTTTTCATTCTCATTATTGGTTCGAAGTATGAATGAGAACATACAATTCCATTTTCACCTATAGAATTGCAAAGATTCCAAGAACCAATGATGCCTAACATTGGCAAGTGGTTGAGGAAGTAAGCATTCTCATATTCTGATGGGAGAGTTGTGGTCTGG